TTCCCGGATTCAAGCACTGTTTCTGCGTCACATGGACGTTTGTGAGTGTACTGATATTTGTTACAGGCTGTATACGTTCTAGTGCTGCTAAACATGTACCTCATTTTATTGACTTTTTGTGATTGTAGACCAAATCACGTGTGTTCCAGTGTTATTTGTTAATTATACATTGATCCTGTGTGGTTGTTTAACCTTCGTGTCGTTAATCGTAAGATCATAACCGGACCTAACAGACGTGACATAATACAAAGAATACAAGGTAGCCCAACGCATAACCATCTCGTCATGAGGGCAGTTGACAGTTGTGGAGGGGGCGTCGTGGCGTCATGTGAGGGCGTACTGTGGAGACAAGTGATAATTTAAAATATTCCACACTCATCTATGTTCTTCTTGCCCTCTTTGGTCCCGTTCATTATAACTAAGTGTCAATGCAGGGGCGGTGGAATTGCCCACTGGTTAAAACATTCGCTCGGGTTCGATTCCCCACATGGTTACAATATGTGAAGCCCATTTCTGTTTTTCCCCGCCATCATATTCCTGGAATATTGCAAAAGAGAGCGGCGTAAAACCTTACTATTCACTGTGACACTGCATGGTTACAAAAAATCAATTTGGAATATGCAAAACCTTGTTGTCAATATGCATATATATTTTGGTATAGTTTCTTTTGCTCGTCAGTGTACAAGGCAGATCTTGCGACAAGCAAGGGCACAAGGGAAGTATTCCATTCAAACATACCCACAGGTAAAAGAGTCAACAAGGAACCACAAACCACGGTTAGCTAATCCTCGTTTCCAAGTTTTGTCAACGACACAATGCAGTATTCAGCTCGGTGTCCTCAGTGTATGAAAAAAGCCAACAACCCAGCCAGACGTCAGGGCTGGTAACTTTAAAATGTTACCAGCCCAAAATGGGTTTAACCAGATCAGACAATCCAAAGAAAATTTTCCAGACGAAAGGACCATAACATACTATCAAATTTATTTTACCCGACCATCCGGCTGGCTAGCTGTAATTTAGACCGGCCGTCAGAAATCTAGCCCCTCTCGGGCGGTCGGACGACTTATTTCATACACCGGACCGGAAGTCAGGGACATAGAAAACATATCACAAATATCTGCTAAAATATTTAATGTGTGAATGTATATGACAAATAAGTTAACTGACACACATATATATTGTAGGTGAAATGAGATTGATGATAAGGAATTATGCGGAGGACGAAAACAGGACTGCTGCTAGATGTATAATTGCCTTCAATAGTAACTGCAGTTTTCGTCAGTTTGTTAACGTTAGCAATGCAAAATACTTAAATAGACATTTTGACTGTTACTCGTATCTCTGACAGTTATGAAACGTCTTACCTATAGATCCGAAAGTTCACATTTCCTTTTGCGAATGACATGAAAACAGTTTCCACCAGTGCTCCGTTGCATACAAAGTCAAGTAATATTTGAGGCGGACTATAGTTACCAATGTCATCAATCCCGTCTGTCCGGTAACCAGTTTCAACCTTTTGCCATATTTGGTTATCTACTGAATTCAGTTTCAAGGTTTAAACAACTTTGAAATAGTATCAGGACGACGTGTACAAGGACACCTCGTCAATCCGAACCTAACGACGGCCTGGAAAGGAATTTTGATGATTCCCGCTCTATTGGCAGTCCATATTGTCGAGTTTTTACTGTGCAAAATTCCGTATAGTTTTATTAGCTACATATAGCAGTTGAGGGGTATTACATGTAAAGAGCTACCGGTTCGCCTGACGTACCATGTCATAGTTAATTCAAAATCTTTCCATAACCAATTGATACATGTAAACGCCGTCCCAGTTTTCGAGATGAAGCTGACCATCCCAGATTATATACCCATGATCCGCATCCTACTTCAGACTGAACATGCATTGTATTTGATCATTTCCGGGTCATTGGCGGGCAATCATCTGTTGTGTGCCCGCAGGTATGTGAGTTGGGGTCAAAGGCCATGTTGGGCCCACACCACATGCGCTTGCCCATGTAAGACGAGCACGAGAAGAACGAGTGGCAGTCTTGGTAGTCGGCCCACACTCCCGCCCCTTTCTCTACACACGTCAGCGGCATGTCTGGATCCTCTGAAACAGCGAGGAAGAGCAAGTATTACCTAGCTTTATTTAGCATCATCAACCTTTTAGAAATATTTAGAAACCAACCACACACAAAAGCTATATGCTCGATACATTTTCTGGACCCCAGCTTCTTTAGGTACCGACGATTTGAGATTTTCGCGGAATCCGGCCGACACCAGTAAAATTTGAAATACACAATGCCATTTTAGAAAGTGATCAAATGTAACATATGTTATATTTGGAATTACACTTTCTTAGTAAAGTTCAGATTCAAGTCCCGGATGGGACTCAACCCCCAAAAGTACTAGAATCTGTACTTTACTAAGAAAGTGTAATCCCAAATATAACATACGGTTACATTTGATCACTTTCTAAAATGCCATTGTGTATTTCATAGCTTTCGGCCGTGGGAGCCATGCCAATTGACACTTATCAGAGGGGTACACAAAGTCCTCAGTCTAGACTACCAGTTGTCCGACTTCCATTATTGTGGAAGCTGCGGTGGCTGAGCGGTCTAGGCGTCTGACTTTGTGTGCTGGCGATTAGGTGCCTAACTCTGAGAGGGTGGGTTCGAATCCCGGATGGGACTCAACCCACATAAAAGTACTAGAATCTGTACTTTACTAAGAAAGTGTAATCCCAAATATAACATATACTCTCCAAAAAAAGAAACGCATATAGGAATTTCAACTGTATTTTTATGCTTATTTTGAAACATCTTGTAGGCTTTATGAGTCAATGAAATATAGCGAAATTGCACACTGGGAATGCAGACTTATCCGTCTTTAGCACCAACTCGAGGAAAGTCAGTTTGAGTGTCACATGGAGACGTTTGGTGGCGCTGAAGTCAATACCCCGTGTGACCACCATGGGCATCCGGAACTGCACAGCATCGCCTCGGCATCGAACGAATAAGTCTCAGAATCTCGTGTTGCCCAATCGCAGCCCACTCTGCCTGTAGTGCCTGTGCGAGTTGCTGAAGTGCCTGGGGCTGAGGGTTACGGCGTCGCACCCGTCTGTCCAGGGCATCTCACAGATGTTCGATCGGGTTTAAGTCCGGTGATCTTAAGGGCCAGGGGAGCACATTGATGTTGTGGTTCTGGAGGAAGTCTCTAGTGTGACGTGCTGTGTGGGGCCTGGCATTGTCCTGTTGAAACAATTCCCTCTGGCGATCAATGATTGGAAGGAAGTGTGGGCGTAGGATTTCGTCACAGTACCGTTGAGCTGTCAGGTTGCCCTGGATCATCACCAAATCACTTCTCCTACGGCAGGTGATCGCTCCCCACATCATAACACTACCCCGGCCGAATCTGTCCACCTGGGGAACGCAAGCGTCGGTGAAACGTTCACGTCGACGTCTGTACACCCGCATTCTTCCATCGCGTCGTTCCAATAGAAATCGTGATTCATCACTGAACCAGATTCTACGCCAATTCGGTAGGATCCAGGCCTGAAAGTTGGTGCACCATTGCACTCGATGTCGACGATGTTGTTGTCGAAGCACAGGGCCAAAATAAGGTCTTCTGGCACGTAAACCAGACTCTCTCAACCTGTTCCTGACGGTCTGAGCAGAAAGATTCCTCAATCCCGGTATTTGTCGAGCGGTACTGGTCTCCGTAGCTGTTCGATGACGCAGGTGATGTACCCCACTACGAGGGGCATCTGCTACCGCATTCTGCCGGCGATATCTCTCCCAGACCCGTGAAATGGTGCTTTGGTGAACATTCATGCGTCGGGTAACTGCACGTTGAGACTGGACAGCTTCAAGCAAACCAATGGCGATATGACGGTTGGCTTCACTTGGACGTGGCATTTTGCGTTTGTCAACAATATTCCAAATACAGTGAATAATCGACAGACAGCGATCAACCTTTTATACCCATCATTGAGACTATCTGATCCCCAACTTTCACGTGCATTGCATGTGAATTGTGTATTCTGTGACACTACACGTCGAAATTGAAAATCATGCTGTTAAATACGGGTATTTTACGGATGGTGCGTTTTGTTGTAATGTTTCAAAACATAAACACCATAGGACTCATAAACAGAGCAAAACCTTTGCTAATGAATCACGTTTTAATTCATGATTGCTACTTGAGAAGAGAAGAGTTGTTGGTTGGACCCGCCCCTATGTCCGTTATGGTTACGGTGTATACCCTTGCCCTATCTGCAGACATAGCTCCATCTTTAGCCTTATGCGGACGGTGCCACGCTATAAATAACCGACCAGTGAAATTACGAGATGTACTGCGGGTTAAATCACAGATTTCCAAATTGAAGATATCGCGGTGAATGGATCCAGGATGTGGTACACAATGCAATTTACAAAGTGCTCAAATGTAACATAAGTTATATTTGGGATTACACTTTCTAGTAAAGTACAGATTCTAGCACTTTTGTTGGATCGAGTCCCATCCGGGATTCAAAGCCACATCCTCAGAGTCAACCGACTAACCCGCTCAGCCACCGTGGATTCCACAAAAATGGAAGTCGGACAACTGGTAGTCTAGACCACGGACTTCGTGTGCCCCTCGGATCCAGGATATTACTACAGGATACTGAACTTGAAGGATGTTCAAAGCATTTTTTAAGAAAAGATCTTAAATATAATGCTACTTAATCCATGATGTTGTGTTCGTTTCCTAAGAGCATAAACTATCTGCACACTCCGAACATGAACCTCGTATAAACAGAGACCAACATGAACAGTTTGATCAAGTGATGAAGACAGAAGTCGGATATTCTGTCTCTAAATCCCTTAACCGGGTTGTTTAACCTTTCGCCCGTTTCTGTATTGCTATGGCCCAAAATGAAGCAAACTGTCGTTCAGGCTGAATCCCACCGAGCCTCCCTTTCAATAGAAATGTCATATCATAATCATATATTTTGAGCTTTACTCTGGAAGTAAGGGTGACGTACCAATACGGTTGATAGAAGGGACCACACCCTCTGGGCGGGGCTTTCTAGTCGGTGGCCGCCAAACGGGAGGGGGTGTGGCTGGTGATGGCTTCTTAGGTGGCGCTGCTGGAGGACTCGGCGGTTCATTGGATGGACGGATTATCTCGGAGATTTTTGTAAGCAGTGGATACTTTCCGAGTCCGCAGCCTTTTCCTGAGAAGTCGTCCATCTCCACAGACCAGATGAAGGCGCCCCCCTAGGTCCTGGCTTTTGAGCCAGTTGGCCTGGAAGAGGAATTAATTAGGCAAGGTGAAGGTCAGCGAACACCAAATTTTGAAAGAACAGACCTGTACATTCCGGTAACAGGTAAAGAGGGTTCGTTATGAGTAGATTGTGTGGATGGATGTGAGTTGATGTAGTTAGCATGGGAGATGAAGCAATAGCTGGGGCGAAGGTCATACAACGAGAACGCATATGTATTTAGGCACGACCGGGACAGTTTGTTTGGGAAAATTACTGAGGGGTGAGTACTGATGTAGTAACCAAGTTCAAGGTCATCGAAGGAAAAAAAGAAATATCGTAAGAACTGACCTACATATTCAGTGATCTTGAGAGTGCGTTTTGGACAAACGGAGTTGATGGATGAGTGTGCGATTGTATAATGCGTGCGAGGCATGCAGGATTCTTGTGTGTGGGCTTTACGTAAATGATTGTGTGCGCGTGTATGTATAAAAGACATAAACCGTCATGCATACCAATATTTTAGCATGCATGTGTGTTGTGCTGATCACAGCAGTGAGCATGCATTCATGTGATCGTGAGCGTGTAGTCATAAAGCTGTTTATCAATCGATTCATTATATTTTATCTTATGACTTTATGATCTGGGAGTTAATAGTTCACAAGTGTCTCATAGGTTAGATATGGCCGAAAGATCTACTTTATAGTGCGCAGTTACTGATATGTAACACCCCGTACTACTAGTGACACGTTAAATAACAATGTTTTCTCTCATTATTTCTTAGTTTTTCTCCAGATAATAAAATAACTAATTTTAATTCGATTTTTTTATCAGAAATTTGCCAGTCACAATAACATAAACATTAAGCAACAAAAAAGCCATAACAAAACCGCCAAAGTGGGCAACTTCCATGTTCTACAGTCTCGGGTGATGACACCGACACAGGCACTGAAGGTCATTAGAGACCATTAAATTAAAATATGAACCACCGGTTATCACTAGAATGAACCCATCTCTTTAAGATTTGTTGGAGCTGTCTTTGTAAGTGAAACAGCAGTGATTTCAGATTTGTTTGTTTGGGTTTTTTCTATTATATTCCTGTAGACATATTACATATTGTTCTTATTATTATTAATATTATATAATCATATGTCCTACAGGACATGAAAAACTTTTTAAAAATAATATAAATACATAAATATATATCATTCTTTCACACTTTTATACCCATGCATACACACCTAAAAGTAAATAGGTGATTTCGGAATATTAGCTAGGATGTCGCCCACCTTGATTCCTATGCTTATGACGTCGTCATAGCCCACCCACTGGTTCCCTCCATGGGCATACGGGGAGTTCTGCTCGTCGATCCATTCCTTCGTCCACGAGTTGAACCTGACGTTTTCACAGATCTGCAATGTATTGCGGAATCACAATATGGAGTGAGTGCTCATTATTACAAGAAAACCTCTCTACACTGAATACAGGAGGCCATAATGAGAAACTAAGGCAATATAAACCTTATAGAAACATAGGTTTATGTTCAGACCAAAATTCGAAGAAAGGCAGTTCTAACAGACGAGAAGATACTGATTAACTTATCATTTCCTCTTCTTATCTTATTATGTCTTATTCAATCTGTATCAAGAGGAACACTGAAATCATTAGTCTAATGGCATAACTATTGCTTTGGTATGTTGTTTGTTCGCGTTTAACGCCGCACTCAGCAATATTCCAGCGATATGGCGGTGATCTGTAAATAATCGAATCTGAACCAGACAATCCATTGATCAATATCATAAGCATCGATTTACGCAATTCGGATACCAAGTCAGCAAGCCTGACCACCCGATCCCGTTAGTCGCCTCTTACGAGAAACACGGGTTGCTGAAGATCAATTCTAACTCGGATCTTCCCGGGTCTTTCTGGGGAAAGACTCATTGCTAGATGGTTCGTGTCATTTTCCCACCTCAAAGTAGGCGAGGATCCCTTTCTCTCTGGTCATTCTGCCCCCGTTGCCTCCCCCAGTGGCGTTCGCCCCCAGCCACGTCTGCCAGGGTTTCAGTAGCGTGTAGCTCATCCCATAGGTAGCTAGGCCCAGGATAAGCTTCTCCTTTGGCACGTCCTGTTGTAACCAGTACTGCACTGTCCAATTCTGAAATCCAAAAAATACCACAATAGACTGGAGACTGACATACTGGAACAGGGCATCAGAAATGTAGAGCTCTGTGGCTACATCAAGGTACCAGTCAAACATACGTTACACCGTCGTGGAGAACTAAAACCCCTACACATCAAGAAGGGTGACAATGTATGGAGGGGCAACTTCTTTCGTACAGTGAGAGCGACGTTTCGGTGTAGGTTCTAACACCGTTATCAAGTAAGTGATGAACAGAATGAGGATAGAGAAGCGTATATACACTGCCACTAGTCTATGCCGGCCCTTTATATACTAGTCACACTTTGCTAAGGATAAAATCATTAATTCAACAGAAAACTATGATGTGGGGTCTAATTTGGTTGAAGTATTTAAGCGTATTGTAAGCATGGATCCTAGGCTTCAGTATGTCCTGCATCTTGTGGAACCCATACCTGCTATTGACAGGTGCTGTGTACTTGTCAATGACTCGTTCCATGATTGGCAAAATGGTTGATTGGTGTCATGAAAACCATTTTGATGGTTACTCATGTATCAAGTGCATAAGACTAGATTTAAGTGACTGTTTGCCTAAAAGGGGTTACCATATTATTATTTATCCAGTTTTAATGGATACAATTTCAAATTATGAAACAACGTTAAGTAAAGTTGTGAATTTTTGCGATCCTTAGCAAAGTGTGAATAGTATATCTACGACACAGATAGAACGACGCTTTTCAGTCCAGAGGTATGATCTTGACAAAGCGAACCGTACATTTGAAAGTCCAATAAACGCATATTCCTTGGCATTTTGATTAGGTTAGGAATGGTTCTTGACCCGACAGAGACTTGTTTCGTTGTAAGTGTTCACACGTATGAATTGCACCTTAAACCTTGACACAAAGATTGACAGGAACGCACCTGACACAGGCTCATTCTTTCCCCCTCGTCTACGCGGCTTGGGGTGATGCTGCTATGGTGGCCGATGTTTTGTTCCCACATTCCATGATAGTTGTACGTCATCAGCAGCATATAGTCTACATGTCTGAAATAACACAGCGTCTCCAACAGTTCATAATCTACATATAATCTGAATAGCATGGCGTCAACAATAGTTCATAATCTGGATATAATCTGAATAGCAAGGCGTCAACCATAGTTCATGATCTAGATATAATCTGAATAGCATGGCGTCAACAATGGTTCATAATCTACATATAATCTGAATAGCATGGCGTCAACAATAGTTCATAATCTTGATTTATTCACAGCATCGCGCCATCAGTCATTCACAATCTATATGTCTGAAAAAACAATTCATAATCTAGATATCTGTATAGTATGGCGTCCAACAACAGTTCATAATCTAGATATCTGTATAGTATGGCGTCCAACAACAGTTCATAATCTAGATATCTGTATAGTATGGCGTCCAACAACAGTTCATAATCTAGATATCTGTATAGTGTGGCGTCCAACAACAGTTCATAATCTAGATATCTGTATAGTATGGCGTCCAACAACAGTTTACAATCTCTATATTTGACACAACATTATGGCATCAACAGTGTATAGTCGAAATATCTTAATAGCATGGCGTCAATAATGGTTCATGATCTAGTTATCTGGAAAAAAACATGGTGCCGTCGATAGTACAGAATCTAGATATTTGTAAAGCATGGCGTCATCATCAGTTTAAAATCGTAGAATCTGAAACAACGTGTCGATTACGATTGGACATCTGAAATATAATGGCGGCACCAATAGGCAATAGTTCACAGCGGCATAATGGCCTCAGCAGTGTATACCTGAAATATACTATTCACACTTTGCTAAGGATCACAAAAATACCCAACTTTACTTAAACAAAGATTTATAATTTGAAATTGTATCCATTTAAAAATAGATAAAAAACGATATGGTAACCCGTCTTTAGGCAAACAGCCACATTAATCTAGCCTTATGCACTTGATACATGAGTAACCATCAAAATGGTTTTCATGGCACCAATCATCCATTTTGCCAATCATGGAACGAGTTATTGACAAGTACATAACACCTGTCAATAGCAGGTATGGGATCCACAAGATGCAATAACATACTGAAACCTAGGATCCATGCTTACAATACGCTTAAATATTTCAACCAAATTAGACCCCACATCATAGTTTTCTGTTTAATTAATGATTTGATCCTTAGAAAAGTGTGAATAGTATATATCGATAGCATGGCGTCACCAACAGCATATTGTCGAGATGTATGTCAATGTCATTAGAGTATAATGAAGATCACCAACAGAGCCAGTCTATATCCGTAATCTAGTAACTCATTACCAACACTGCCCAGCTTACATGCCATGTGGTACCAGGAAAACTGAACACACTGCTCTGCACATGTGGAATAACATATGGCAATGGCAATTATAATGTATATTTTCAAAAACGCAGTACAGGCCTCAAAATATTAGGGCTGGCTAAAACGGTCGACAATTGGAAATAACGTTTATAGGAAAAACTATTAATGATTATCGATATGAAAATTGTGCTATCGATAATATCGTAAATTAAGTTTTGTGATGGTAAAAAATGTTTTGATTTTCTCATACAATATTGAAATTTAGGACTTTATTCATTGTCTGCTTCTACATTATGTCCAGGACGCTGTTTTGTTAATAATAGATGCAAAAACATGTCACGACTCACCAGTGATGTGAAATATACAGTTTTGGCATTTTGCTCAATGTTACGTATTTGTCGATCGATATTTTGTTAACGATAATCGATATCTATTATCAATATCGGTAGCCAGCCCTGCACAATATGGGTTTGGTCCTTCAACAACTGATGTCAACACACACATACTCGTATCTAATTTGCCATAGAAATACAAGGGTTCGTGAGTAATACACTCTTCGTCAGTTTAATCATAACTCACTTGTGTATTGTAGTTGGTTCGTAGGCGTTATCAATAAAGAAAACCCCTGCAGCAGTGGCCAAAGTAAGAATCATTTTCTCATTCCCAGTCCGTTCAGCCTCCTCTCTTAACTTTTCTTGAATGGTCTGAAAGAAATACATACATTGCCGTTCCGTTTACTACATGCACATATGAACGTTGTAGTTGTTTCAGAAAGTTCACACTCAACTTAACAAATCTGTTATTTTTCAGATCGACAGATTTCTCGGGTATTTTACATCATATGTTTAATGTCATTTTCGTCAATAAATTCCATAACGTAATATTGATATGAACTATAAACTATACATATAGAAATTCAATATGTAAACAGTGATGTAGAATCCTTCACACATCTATGAATGAGTGAGTGAGTGCGTTTAGTTTTACGCCGCGTTTAGCAATATTCCAGCAATATCACAGCGGGGGACACAAGAAATGGGCTTCACACATTGTATCCATGTGGGGAATCGAACCCAGGTCATCGGCGCATCTTTAAATGAATTTGATAGATGGGAACCTTTCTGAAAGAGCTGATTTATTGTCTGCTAAGGCTGTTGAATATGCTGTACTCTTTAATACGGGTATCAACCATGAGTAAGAGTCGCAATTTATCTTGTTTGTTGGAAGGTGGGTTATGTTATGTGAAAGGAAAACTCTCGTAGGTCATAGAAATCCCACGTGACAAACCCTTGATCAACAGAGATGTACTCATCAGTTCTTGAATGTCAATGGAGTAATAATTTTTCAGATTTCTTTCTCTCCGGTGCTTGATACATTTATAGGCTATTTATATCTTCGATATTTCCGTTACTGAATCAAATTCGACGGATCACATTGCGAGATTAGCGTAAGAGAGGTATATTTTACTATTCAGCGTAACACGCACGTTTCCCCTTTACATTCCCCACTTTCACGACATCGATTGGTCGGTTTCTGGTACGTGAAACGAATTCACCATGTTTACCAACCCTCGATCTCATCTTAACCTGTAGCTCACTACCACGCCCTGAAACGTGACTTTTATAACACAACACCTGTGCCCTCTGTTTGTTGACGGATTTTCCTTGGCAATTTGGTTAATTGGATTCAGCCTGACACCAAACATTGAGAATAAACTATTTAGCAAGTTTTGGACTGTTTGTTTTGAAGGATACATACAGTTGATATTGATGCAGCCGAAAGGTCATTAGGATGAAACAAGGTGGCGACCACAAATTGTTCTCAAACTGTTTATGGGGACGGTGGGGTAGCCTATTGGTTCAGGCGTTCGTTCGTACCGGGGAAAACTCGGGTTCGATTCCCTACTTGGGCACAGTTTTGTGAAGCCCATTTCTGGTGTTCCCCGCCGTGATACTGTTGGAATATTGCTAAGTCCACCAGTAAGTTTAAAGTTAGTGAGGTAAATGAATAGTATTAAAGGCCGGTGATAGAAAAACCCCACTAAGAAATGCTCTAGTAGACCCGCAAGCGTGTATGTGGTGGTAACAAAACAATGGTCGTAATCGGAAGAACCTCGGCTTCTAAGCGTCTACAAACTTGAAGAACGGACGCAACTCTGTATAGCGAGTTGTCTCGCCTTTGACCCCCGTGCCCAAGAAGTAAACGGCAATTTAAACCAACTTTTGTGTAAAAGTGAGTGTGTGAGTATGCTTTTAGCACTATTCCAGCAATATAAACGAGAAATGGGGTTGACTCTGTGCATCCATGTTGGGAAATTAACCCGATTCTTCGGCGAGACACGCGAATGTTTTAACCGCTAACCCACAGCCCCTTTTATAATTCCATGTGGTTAACTTCCATGTTTCAAAAAGGACACTACACAAACACGCGCCCTACCATTAAGGTTGTGGTGAATGAGTATGGTTTTACCCCGCTTTTAGCAATATTCCAGCAATATCACGGCGGGGGACACCAGAAATGGGCTTCACACATTGTACCCATATGGGGAATCGAACCCTTGTCTTCAGCGTGACGAGCGAACGCTTTAACCACTAGGCTACTCCACCGCCCTAATTTAGGTTGTAAATGTGTACTTGTTGTTGCTATGGACGCGTACCTTCATTAGAATGGTAAACTTGTATTTGTCGGAGGGACCGCTTCCTCTGACCCCCGGAAACTCCCAGTCCATGTCCATTCCGTCCATGTTGTGTTTTCTGAGGTAGGAAACAGCGCTGTCGGCCCATTTCGACATCGTGTACTCATTTTCGATGATGGGAAGAAACGGCTTCGATCCCTCCTTCCATCCTCCCACAGCTAGCAGAACGCGCAGTTGGGGGTTCAGGAGTTTAAGGGCAGTGGTCTTGGCGTATAAGGCTGAAGACATTGACGTTGGTGTCATTTAAATGTTACATGAACACTAAAACACTCAACACTAAGTGGATACTGTTTAAAACCGGAAGCAACATCTATATCTGTAAATAACGGAATCTGGACCAGACAAACTAGTGGATAATATTAAGAGCATCGATCTATGCAGTCGACGTATGGTGACACTTGTTTAACTCTGTGTTCAGCTAAATCAGCGAGAATGACAGCGATGTTACAAAATAGAGCTGACAGTGACAGTGGTGTGGTCACGAGCATATCACTAGTGAGAGGAACATTTCCTAGGATCGCATGAATCTGTTCAAGTTTGTGCTACACCTGTAAACGGGAAATAATGTAGCTGACAATAGTAGAAGTTGCTGTTACACTAGATGTTGCACTTACACAAGAAGTTGCTGTTACACTAGAGGTTGCAGTTACACTAGAAGTTGCTGTTACACTAGAGGTTGCAGTTACACTAGAGGTTGCAGTTACACTAGAAGTTGCTGTTACACTAGATGTTGCAGTTACACTAGAAGTTGCAGTTACACTAGAGGTTGCAGTTACACTAGAAGTTGCTGTTACACTAGAGGTTGCAGTTACACTAGAAGTTGATGTTACACTAGAGGTTGCTGTTACACTAGAGGTTGCAGTTACACTAGAGGTTGCAGTTACACTAGAAGTTGCAGTTACACCAGATGTTGCAGTTACACTAGAGGTTGCAGTTACACTAGAAGTTGCGGTTACACTAGAGGTTGCAGTTACACTAGAGGTTGCAGTTACACTAGAGGTTGCAGTTACACTAGAGGTTGCAGTTACCCTAGAGGTTGCAGTTACACTAGAAGTTGATGTTACACTAGAAGTTGCAGTTACACTAGAGGTTGCAGTTACACTAGAAGTTGCTGTTACACAAGAGGTTGCAGTTACACTAGAGGTAGCAGTTACACTAGAAGTTGTTGTTACACTAGAGGTTGCAGTTACACTAGAAGTTCTTGTTACACTAAAGGTTGCAGTTACACTAGAAGTTGCAGTTACACTAGAAGTTGCAGTTACACTAGAAGCTGCTGTTACACTAGAGGTTGCAGTTACACTAGAAGTTGCAGTTACACAAGAGGTTGCAGTTACACTAGACGTTGCAGTTACACAAGAGGTTGCAGTTACACTAGAGGTTGCAGTTACACTAGAAGTTGTTGTTACACTAAAGGTTGCAGTTACACTAGAGGTTGCAGTTACACTAGAAGTTGTTGTTACACTAAAGGTTGCAGTTACACAAGAGATTGTAGTTACACTAGAGGTTGCAGTTACAGTAGAAGTTGATGTTACACTAGAAGTTGCAGTTACCCTAGAGGTTGCAGTTACACTAGAAGTTGCAGTTACACAAGAGGTTGCAGTTACACTAGAAGTTGCAGTTACACTAGAGGTTGCAGTTACACTAGACGTTGCAGTTACACAAGAGATTGCAGTTACACTAGAGGTTGCAGTTACACTAGAGGTTGCAGTTACACTAGAAGTTGATGTTACACTAGAAGTTGCTATTTCACTAGAGGTTGCAGTTACACTAGACGTTGCAGTTACACAAGAGGTTGCAGTTAAACTAGAGGTTGCAGTTACACTAGAGGTTGATGTTACACTAGAAGTTGCTGTTACACAAGAGGTTGCAGTTACACTAGAGGTTGCAGTTACACTAGAAGTTGATGTTACACTAGAGGTTGCAGTTACACTAGAAGTTGCTGTTACACAAGAGGTTGCAGTTACACTAGAGGTTGCAGTTACACTAGAAGTTGATGTTACACTAGAGGTTGCAGTTACACTAGAAGTTGCTGTTACACTAGAGGTTGCGGTTACACTAGAAGTTGCAGTTACACTAGAAGTTGCAGTTACACTAGAGGTTGCGGCTACACTAAAAGTTGCAGTTACACTAGAAGCTGCAGTTACACTAGAGTTTGCAGTTACTCTAGAGGTGGTTACACAAGAAGTTGCTGTAGAAGAAGAAGAATAGCGAAAGACATGGTAGATAGCATATATCTCGTTGGCTTTTCTCGTTAGGTACGTTTTGACAACAAGGTTAGTTTCAAGGTAAATGGTATCATACGAGCGCAGTAACGTTTTTCTTACACAGCCTATTTTTGCAACATTTTAGCATCGAATCGACGCATAGTTTGCCTGGGATCACAGTGGCACATTAATGTAATTCCCATCAAACGTTTAGACTCACTAGTGTATGTATAGCCCCTTACTTCAGGCAACTGTTCTAAACTAGATTTTGCAAAATATTCCATACTGTTTAAAGATACAGGGGTTTTTGCATTGTAAAACAAATTCGTAACATTGAAAAGATTATTGTCATGAGTTCAGTAAATGATAAAAATCAGTGAAAATTGGCGAATTCTTATCAAAACTTTACACCAAAACGCAGCTTTTCACATGCACGATATTTGCACAAGTCATGCTTTTCAGCAATTTGATGCATGATCTTCGTGCAATTCATCTGCATACGTTTTTCAGTTGATTCCCCCATCCCCCAAGTTAGAGAAGAAATCAATCTCCGATGTAACCATATATATATACGTAACATATAGTGAGTGTTTTAAGTGAGTCTAAACTTTTAATGGGAAGAAAACATAACAAAACGTTCATGTGGGACGCCATCCGGCCTACTGCTTACTACTCACACTTAATGTGACCCTCCACACAAACGTTCCCCTGTACTACAGCACGTGTTATATGTGGGGTTACACTTTCTTAGTAAAGTACAAATTCTAGTACTATTGATGGGTTGAGTCCCATCCGGGATTCGAATACAGACCCTCAGGCAGCTCATCGTCAGCACACAAAGTCAGCCGTCTAACCCACTCAGTCACCGTGGCTTCATACAAATGTAAGTCAGACAACTGGTAGTCTTTACCACGGACTTTGTGTACCCCTCAGATAAGTTTAAATGGGCACGGCTCCCACGGCCGAAAGCTATAAATACACAATGCCATTTAGAAAGTGTACCCCTCAGATAAGTTTAAATGGGCACGGCTCCCACGGCCGAAAGCTATAAATACACAATGCCATTTAGAAAGTGTACCCCTCAGATAAGTTTAAATGGGCACGGCTCCCACGGCCGAAAGCTATAAATACACAATGCCATTTAGAAAGTGTACCCCTCAGATAAGTTTAAATGGGCACGGCTCCCACGGCCGAAAGCTATAAATACACAATGCCATTTAGAAAAGTGTACCCCTCAGATAAGTTTAAATGGGCACGGCTCCCACGGCCGAAAGCTATAAATACACAATGCCATTTAGAAAGTGTACCCCTCAGATAAGTTTAAATGGGCACGGCTCCCACGGCCGAAAGCTATAAATACACAATGCCATTTAGAAAGTGTACCCCTCAGATAAGTTTAAATGGGCACGGCTCCCACGGCCGAAAGCTATAAATACACAATGCCATTTAGAAAGTGTACCCCTCAGATAAGTTTAAATGGGCACGGCTCCCACGGCCGAAAGCTATAAATACACAATGCCATTTAGAAAGTGTACCCCTCAGATAAGTTTAAATGGGCACGGCTCCCACGGCCGAAAGCTATAAATACACAATGCCATTTAGAAAGTGTACCCCCAGATAAGTTTAAATGGGTACGGCTCCCACGGCCGAAAGCTATAAATACACAATGCCATTTAGAAAGTGTACCCCTCAGATAAGTTTAAATGGGTACGGCTCCCACGGCCGAAAGCTATAAATACACAATGCCATTTAGAAAGTGTACCCCTCAGATAAGTTTAAATGGGCACGGCTCCCACGGCCGAAAGCTATAAATACACAATGCCATTTAGAAAGTGTACCCCTCAGATAAGTTTAAATGGGCACGGCTCCACGGCCAGCTATAAATACACAATGCCATTTTAGAAAGTGTACCCCTCAGATAAGTTTAAATGGGCACGGCTCCCACGGCCGAAAGCTATAAATACACAATGCCATTTAGAAAGTGTACCCCTCAGATAAGTTTAAATGGGCACGGCTCCCACGGCCGAAAGCTATAAATACACAATGCCATTTAGAAAGTGTACCCCTCAGATAAGTTTAAATGGGCACGGCCCCACGGCCGAAAGCTATAAATACACAATGCCATTTAGAAAGTGTACCCCTCAGATAAGTTTAAATGGGCACGGCTCCCACGGCCGAAAGCTATAAATACACAATGCCATTTAGAAAGTGTACCCCTCAGATAAGTTTAAATGGGCCCCACGGCCGAGCTATAAATACACAATGCCATTTAGAAAGTGTACCCCTCAGATAAGTTTAAATGGGTACGGCTCCACGGCCGAAAAGCTATAAATACGAAAGCTATAAATACACAATGCCATTTAGAAAGTGTACCCCTCAGATAAGTTTAAATGGGCACAGCTCCCACGGCCGAAAGCAATAAATACACAATGCCATTTAGAAAGTGTACCCCTCAGATAAGTTTAAATGGGCACGGCTCCCACGGCCGAAAGCTATAAATACACAATGCCATTTAGAAAGTGTACCCCTCAGATAAGTTTAAATGGGCACGGCTCCCACGGCCGAAAGCTATAAATACACAATGCCATTTAGAAAGTGTACCCCTCAGATAAGTTTAAATGGGCACGGCTCCCACGGCCGAAAGCTATAAATACACAATGCCATTTAGAAAGTGTACCCCTCAGATAAGTTTAAATGGGCACAGCTCCCACGGCCGAAAGCAATAAATACACAATGCCATTTAGAAAGTGTACCCCTCAGATAAGTTTAAATGGGCACGGCTCCCACGGCCGAAAGCTATAAATACACAATGCCATTTAGAAAGTGTACCCCGAAAGTGTACCCCTCAGATAAGTTTAAATGGGCACGGCTCCCACGGCCGAAAGCTATAAATACACAATGCCATATAGAAAGTGTACCCCTCAGATAAGTTTAAATGGGCACGGCTCCCACGGCCGAAAGCTATAAATACACAATGCCATATAGAAAGTGTACCCCTCAGATAAGTTTAAATGGGCACGGCTCCCACGGCCGAAAGCTATAAATACACAATGCCATAGATGGGCTGGCTCCAAGTGTACCCCTCAGATAAGTTTAAATGGGTACGGCTCCCACGGCCGAAAGCTATAAATACACAATGCCATTTAGAAAGTGTACCCCTCAGATAAGTTTAAATGGGCACGGCTCCCACGGCCGAAAGCTATAAATACACAATGCCATTTAGAAAGTGTACCCCTCAGATAAGTTTAAATGGGCACGGCTCCCACGGCCGAAAGCTATAAATACACAATGCCATTTAGAAAGTGTACCCCTCAGATAAGTTTAAATGGGCACGGCTCCCACGGCCGAAAGCTATAAATACACAATGCCATTTAGAAAGTGTACCCCTCAGATAAGTTTAAATGGGCACGGCTCCCACGGCCGAAAGCTATAAATACACAATGCCATTTAGAAAGTGTACCCCTCAGATAAGTTTAAATGGGCACGGCTCCCACGGCCGAAAGCTATAAATACACAATGCCATTTAGAAAGTGTACCCCTCAGATAAGTTTAAATGGGCACGGCTCCCACGGCCGAAAGCTATAAATACACAATGCCATTTAGAAAGTGTACCCCTCAGATAAGTTTAAATGGGCACGGCTCCCACGGCCGAAAGCTATAAATACACAATGCCATTTAGAAAGTGTACCCCTCAGATAAGTTTAAATGGGCACGGCTCCCACGGCCGAAAGCTATAAATACACAATGCCATTTAGAAAGTGTACCCCTCAGATAAGTTTAAATGGGCACGGCTCCCACGGCCGAAAGCTATAAATACACAATGCCATTTAGAAAGTGGTCCAATGTAACTCATGTTATAGTTGGGATTACACTTTCTCGGTAATGTACAGATTCTAGTACTGGACTCTCAAATCGAAAGTGATTATGAAACCTAGATAAGACAATAACATTCATTAAGTGAGTGAGTGAGTGAGTTTAGTTTTACGCCGCACTCAGCAATATTCCAGCTATATGGCGGCGGTCTGTAAATAATCGAGTCTGGACCAGACAATCCAGTGATCAACAGCATGAGCATCGATCTGCGCAATTGGGAACTGATGACATGTGTCAACCAAGTCAGCGAAACTGACCACCCGATCCCGTTAGTCGCCTCTTACGACAAGATAGTCGCCTTTTTATGGCAAGCACATGGGTTGCTGAAGACCTATTCTACCCCGGATCTTCACGGGTCTCATTCATTAAGAGGGCGACCATAAATGTTGCACTTATGCCTAATTCCTTTGTCTTTTGGACAATGAAATATGTTTAAAACAAGACTCTAAAACCGTAAACCTTCACCATATGACGTAAGCGTGGTCGGGGCGTATCTTATTAATAAATTACAATCGGGAACTAGTCCGTCATGATCTGACCTTAGGTCATCACCATGGAGTAGCCAATGACGGACCAGGAATTCGTAATCACGTATATGTTTGATACCAGTTACCTCACGTGAGTTTCTCACTCACAAGTGTGCAAGGAATATGATTTTCATAAAACTTAAGTGAATTATTAAGCTGACCATTCCAGGAATCGGGTTCGTCGTCGTCGGGAGTGTTGGGTCCCAGACCCCACGGCAACACCTTAGCGAAGGCCACGATGATGTGTGTGCAGAGAAAGGGGTCGATGTCGCTGGGATGGAACCGGCCGTAGTCGCTTCGCCACCGGGCGTCACTGCTGTAGTAGCAAAACATCTTCTTATCTTGACCTGCAACAACCAGTTTACATGTGTTATGTATTCGTTGACCGATGTTCATATTTGTATGGTCAATCAAGCCTTGCGTAAAGTAAACTTTGTATAGTATTTTGTTTGTTTGTTTGTTTGTTTACGTATCACTCAGTAACATTCCAGCTGTAGGACGATCTGGATCAGACTATTCAGGGATTAACATCATGAGCATCGATCTACGCTAATTGGACATGATGACACATATGAACCAAGACAGTGAGTGAGTTTAGTTTTACGCCGCTTGTAGCAGTATTACGGCGGGGGACACCAGAAATGGGTTTCACACGTTGTACCCATGTTCGGGAATCGAACCCGGGTCTTCAGCACGGCAAGCGAACGCTTTAACTACAGAGCTACCCCACCGCCCTTTCAACCAAGACAGGATGTTTGACCACACTTTCCCGTTAGTTGCCACTTACGAGAAGTTTGGGTCTACTGAACACCTGGGCCCCGTTTTCACAAAGCTCTCGTAGCGCTACGACTATCGTAAGTCAATGTTACAGTATGGGAGGTACGAATGCTACGAGAAAAGTTGCGAGATCTTAGGCTTACGAGAGCTTTGTGAAACGGGGCCCAGGTCCAACCCGAAACTTCGAGCGCGTTATAGTGGATACCACAGGTAGCTTTTGGATAGACTAACATTTAGTCTCTGAAATGAACATATTTTGTGAAATTATTGCTAGTTGGGAAAGACATATGATACTAACTGACCATATATCAGATACTCCGCTCTCTCTCTCTCGCTTAGTCTTAATTGTGAGAGAATCGTCTACGTTGAAAAGAGCAACACTGAGAGGAAAGGTTCAGAAGCTGTGGAAACTCTTGGTTAGTTTAGGACTAGCACCACAAACTGGGATGGGTGGAATGGGAAACAATAACTTTCAGGGTCTGTGAGATAAACTGAAATATATTCTTACCTACACCGACCATCAGAAAAGAATACTTTGTAAATACATTTGCAGAAGGAACTGTTCCTTGTTTAGTGTTTTTAATGTTTTCCTCCAAATCCACATACAGTCAAATCCCGATGAGTCGAATGCCGGTGTCTCGAATATTATGCATAACTCGAAGTACCTGTCGGTCCCGACCATTCCCTGTTATAGTTGTCATCATTTGATTTCCGGTTACACGAATTCGTCATAGACATACCTATGTATATACGTATCTGAAGTCACACCAACTGAGCGAAGTATCGTACAATCGTCAGTTGTATACCGGATGTTGGTGAATCCATCCGGACATGCGTGTTCGTGTCAAGTGATTTTATTATAGGTTTATACAATATTGCTCACCACCTAATTTTCACATGTGTACCCATTACTATTTCCCTCTATTTCACTTTGCATTGTTTGTATTTGGGGACCCCAGTTGGCTTGCATTTGTTTCGGAGTACAGGCAATAAACTTATTTGAGCTCAGTTGTGTAGTGACGTTAACCCGATCTCGTTAAACCGACGGAGTCACATGTTATGGTCTGTACATTGTGTCAATCGGTCTGTTCCCAATGTCAGTTGGTCTGTGCCTTATGTCAAGGTCTGTGCCTTATGTCAAAGTCTGTCCCTAATGTCAAGGTCTGTGCCTAATGTCAAGGTCTGTGCCTTATGTCAAGGTATGTTCCCCATGTCAATCGGTGTGTGCCTTATGTCAAGGTCTGTCCCTAATGTCAAGGTCTGTGCCTTATGTCAATGTCTGTGCCTAATGTCAAGGTATGTTCCCCATGTCAATCGGTGTGTGCCTTATGTCAAGGTCTGTCCCTAATGTCAAGGTCTGTCCCTAATGTCAATCGGTATGTGCCTTATGTCAAGGTCTGTCCCTAATGTCAAGGTCTGTGCCTAATGTCAAGGTCTGTGCCTTATGTCAAGGTATGTTCCCCATGTCAATCGGTGTGTGCCTTATGTCAATGTCTGTGCCTAATGTCAAGGTTTGTTCCCCATGTCAATCGGTGTGTGCCTTATGTCAAGGTCTGTCCCTAATGTCAAGGTCTGTGCCTTATGTCAATGTCATCGGTGTGTGCCTTATGTCAAGGTCTGTCCCTAATGTCAATCGGTCTGTGCCTTATGTCAATGCCAATCGGTCTGTGCCTTATGTCAATGTCAATCGGTACTATTAGTTACATTTGGAATTCAATTTCTCTACCACTTCGGGATACATTTTCTGCAGGATTTCGATTTAACAGATTTAGAATTGACGTAGTTTCACCGTGTCTGGTGATTCCCTACTCCTCGAATTCACGATCTCCAACTTGAGCCGGGGCAGGGATGAGGGTGGCTTGTGACGTTTTAGTTGATTGCAAAAGGTTGACACACAAACTGAATAGTCCAAACGGTAATTTAATTCAATATTTAGCTTGACCCTGAGATTATTCGTCCGTATCACACGGACGTGGTGAATTCAGGGTGGCACCCACACAGGGCATGGGTCTCTGATTTCAGTAGACAGTAATCATTGACTCTTTTAATGTAACTACCAGTAATTACATTCATCATTAGAAGCAAGCTTTGTTTTGTCCCCTCCATCAACGTGGCGGTCATTCCTTGACAGGTATAGTGACACCTGTCTGACCAGGCACGTGGACAACGTGCCTAACGTGGTCAGTCGGACGACTTAGCAGGGTGGTGCGATAAGGTTATAGGAATGAAACTTTAAATACATGGCATTTTAATTCGATTTCTAGACTGATGTGATAGAAATCATTACAAATGAAAACATGTTTCCACCAAATCAAATTTCTTTGAGTACAATATTGAATTAAGTAAGCAACCAAACTTACTTGGTGTGACATCCTAATACTTCTTATCACTTGGGTTGTTTCTTACGTACATAACAACGATGGACATTCAGTTCTTTTAGTCAGCGTGAAAAGGTAGGTACGTCGAACATCGAACATAAACAAAAATAAGAACCGTTTAATTATAAGAATTGATAAAGTAATACTTTTAAAAGACATAAACCTGATTCTTGAGACATTCGCATCAAAGAACATGCTTGTTCCTTTTCAACGCCATCGTCCGAATGTGGGCGAACACCTACAAATGAAACTTGTGTTTGTGAAAGTTTACTTCAAATACAAGTTGCAGTCTTAAGCACCTGTTAATCAACATGTCTGCTTGCCCTCAAAGTCTAACATAGGTTTACATTAAACTTAGAATAGCTGGGACAACTCTAAATGTTACGTTCACGCGGGTGACAAAACTGACGCACCCTCTGCTTGTGCGTTAATGATGGCGTCAATGTATTGTAACGATCACGTCGTGGTGGTACCACAACGTTGATAGTTGCCTGTGATCGCATGAAACAACGATTCTAAAAACGCCATGGGTTCTTATCGACGAGTTGTTATAACCCGTACAGAATTGCGCTCAATGTCTGTTTCTTGTGTAGGTTTGAGCTGGTTCAAGCCAACCTCGTGTAGCTCTCACTAAACAACTGGAGGTATTGCTCGAAGACTCGTCTTCTCCGGATAACTCCTTTAATGGCTGTGCAATATCGTCATTTATAACAGCCAATCCCTCCTCGCATTAACCATTCTATCATTCCGCTTTTATATTTCCTTGTCACTGAGAAACGGTGACGGTCATTAGTGACATCTGTCTGACCATATCTGACATCCAGTGATCGAGGGAAAAATACCAGCGCCTTGAGCAAGCACTAGTTGCCTGGATATGTGCGCTATATAAATATCCTATAATAATAATAATATATTTTCCAGTGACAGCTTGTGCGTATATATTGTTAAGAATAAGAGTGAGTATGGTTTTATGCCGCTTTAGCAACACTGCACCACTATCACGGATCACCAGAAATGGACTTCACACTATGTAGCCGTGTAGGGAAGCGAACCCCGTTCTTCAGCGTGACTTCCACTCAGTAACCCCGCCAAATCATTTCGATATTATGGTCTTCAAGCTCAAGATACATTCTTTCAGAAACGTAATGAACCTTATTGAAATTATGTTTTGACGAATATGCTGTTGTTTGCTTTGGCAAAGACGTCTCTGCATACTTTGTTGTGATCTAGGAACTGTTATGTAGGTTCCGGGTCACAAATAATAGCCTTTGACACTGACACCTGCTTTGACCTAATTATCGGCCAAACGGGCATGTGTGGGTCTGGCGTTACAGAAATGTGTTCCCGGTAATTGTCAAAGGGACAGTCGAATGTGAGAAACGTTTTGGGTGTCATGGTTACCTGTCACGTGCAGCGCGAGACACGCCAAGACCAGAAACATCATTATGGATGACCTCATGGTGGAAACCTGAAACAAAGGTAACAGAAACACGTGAATAAGACACGGCTATAAACGTACGTCCGTGAGTGGGTTTTAAGCCGCTTTTAGCAATATCACGCAATATATGTGCTTCACACATTGTGCCTATTTTGGGAATCGAACCCGGGTCTTTGGCGTGGCGAGCGAACGCTTTCACCACTAGGCCACCCTTTATAATCAAGATAATGACCAATATGTATTAGCCCAGCGTTCGCTCGTCACGCCGAAGACCCGGGTTCGAATCCCCACATGGGTACAATGAGTGAAGCCCATTTCTGGTGTCCCCCGCCGTGATATTGCTGGAATATTGCTAAATGCGGCGTTAAACCATACTCACACACTCACACAACTCTAGAGGAAAACAATCATGAAGGGTTCCAAACCCCATCCCTAGAAATCAGACAAACCACTGTGGTGTCTTTGCTTCTAGAATCAGGTAAGAGGATACATACAGTTGGCACAAGTAAGTTGGACTGTGATTTTCATAATATAACTTTAGGGTTGAGCATTTCATTGATGTATCAATCTTGGCAAGTACAAACGACGATAACTACGTCATAGCAACCCGAGTAATGCACTGTGACATCCGGAATACAGGCAACCGGCATACTGCACTGTGGCATAACTTTACCCCTACATCCCATTACCCCTACAGCTTATAACAACAAAGTTCACGGTCCAATGCACTGCTAATCCCCTTCCTGTTACCTGTTACCTGGACAATGGACTAGCCCAAACACATGAACACAAGATTTAATGTTTTAATTTATGGATTTAATTACACAAATAAATGAATATAATACACAGATATCTTCCTAGTCGTGACATGAATATGAGCAGCAGGTCATGTTAACTTTTTAATGTTAATTTTTGTCTTTTAAACAAGTCTCTATCCCAATTTGAGGAGATGGCCCAGAAATCTCAAATTACTTGTCTCATCTCAGTGTCAATTTCAACATTTACTTCATTTCATCTTAACAAACTTTCTCTATCGAAGAACACCTTAATCCTTTCTCATTTGTATACACAACACCTTACTTTACCAAGTCATCTCAAATTACTTGTCTCATCTCAGTGTCAATTTCAACATTTACTTCATTTCATCTTAACAAACTTTCTCTAACCAAGAACACCTGGGTATAGTTTAATCGCTCCCATGGGTTAGTTCATTATGCCAGACAGGTAAATGCCGTGTGTTGTTTTAACTAATTGTAGGTGTACTGGGATGTAGGGGTAATTGAATACAACCCTTTTCAAATGGCAAGTTGGCTAGGTCCTAACTTCAAACTATGCAAGTACACTAGCAAAACTCGTTCATGTCATAATATATTGTGGCATGAAATTCAGTTACTTCAGAGACCACTGTAATCTCTAACAGAACTCGTACAAAACTCGTCGCTCATCATGGATATATTCGTAGCATCATTATGACGAGGGGAATTTCCGTTTTGTACTTATATCTTCTTTAATGGTATGACTCTTTCATCCAAATTATGGGATTCAAACAAGCGGCTCCTCGAGCGTCTAAGGGGCATAACTTATCCCAAGCAAGAGACAGGAGAAAGGTGAGAGTTGTAGCAAATATCATAAATGGAGTTATTGTTGTACCTTGGTCAAAAGACGCAACTGTATCAGGCACAATTCAACAAGAAACATTGATACCAGTATGTTAAGAAAGGCTTGAAGACAATGCAAAATCACTGCCCATGTAAACGACTCCCCTGTCAGTTTCACTGTTTTCCTTTTTCTTTTCTTTTTTGTCATTTCAGTGAAATCTGTTGGTATACACTAATATAACATCATATGTAACATATGTAATAATGTAATAGCTTTGGGGGCCTAACATTACAACGACGTAAGAAAACGTGCTACACACTTAAGGCCACAAATAAGGTAAGTGGCAAGGCACATACGTATAAGGGTTAACCCAATGATTCACTCTTAGAATGTTACACATTTAAGCTGACATTTGGTCAAAACATTTTCCTTCTGCAACTTTTATGTACAGTTTTCGGGGGCATGGGGGCATTTGGTTCGTGTAACCTTTGTAACATTGACTGAAATCATTTAGAGGTAATTGGACATTTTCGCGCGGTGGCTCCAGAGTTTTGTGAGCAATAAATGATATTTCAGTGGCTCGTCTTCCACAGGATTAAAAGTATTAATATTGAAGCGTTTAAATGGGTATGTTTCGTACTTGGATACTTGCTTCGGTTTCATGCTCGTATTAATTTGCTATAAGCAATTAACTCAACCATTATCTTGTTATGTTTTGCTTTCACAAGAATTTGGTACCACTGGATGAAACTAATGCAATAGTTACCAAGTTGGTAAGTATAATGCCTAAATATTTGGAAGCATGTATTCCTACCTGACAGAGCAACAAATCCACTCCTGTAAACTGTTGCTAAAGGTATCCGTTAACTGTTCTACTCCCCATTCTGCTTGCCGGGCTATTTAAGCCTATTAATTACTCTAGAACGTCACGCCCTCTCGACCCTGTCTCAGCCAATCACATGAGAGATGACAGACGTCGTGTGGAGAGATTGAAAGGGACAAGCCCTACTGTATATCACAGGTATACGAAGTAGTATTTTGGGGGATAACGCCTGTGCACTGTTTAACTTTGGTGGTCAGAAAACAGATCTTGAAGTTGAATGACCAGTTGTTATACAGCTACAAGCGGTTACCTCCCTTTTTGTAAGAAACGTCGGTATTCAGTATTGATCACTACTGCTCTTAGGTAAATTTATTAGTATTCATCGTTTCATTTGAATCGTCATGTTATGCTATATTCTACTAAATCTCATCACGATACTTTAAAAGGTTGACAAATAGCGATGCGATTTAAGAATGGAACATGAGGATGTGTGTGTGTGTGTCCAGAGACCATGGTCTCTGGTGTGTCTATATCTCTGCGTGTGTCTATATATCTGTGTGTGTGTGTGTGTGTGTGTGTGTGTGTGTGTGTGTGTGTGTGTGTGTGTGTGTGTGTGTGTGTGTGTGTGTGTGTGTGTGTGTGTGTGTGTGTGTGTGTGTGTTAGTGTGTGAGGGGAGGGGCGTATGATAAAGTGTCTTCCTCCATACAATGTAAGTAAAACAGTAATCAAAATTTATGCTGAGGTAATTTACATATGGTATGGTATGGTATGGTATGGTATGGTATGGTATGGTATGGTATGGTATGGTATGGTATGGTATGGTATGGTATGGTATGGTATGGTATGGTATGGTATGGTATGGTATGGTATGGTATGTGACTCCGCGGTTTGTGATCTAACCAGGGTGGGTAGCCACCATACCAACAACTAACGGTGTGACTACACCATGAGCAGACAGCTTCAATACAGCTGGGGGCGATGGGGTAGCCTAGTGGTTAAAGCGTTCGCTCGTCGATCTGGGTTCGATTCCCCACATGGGTCAATGTCTGAAGACCATTTCTGGTGTCCCCAGCCGTGATATTGCTGGAATATTGCTAAAAGCGGCGTAAAACTAAAACTCACTCACTTCAATACAGCTGGGGCTATGCAGTGTAGATAGACGTTAACTCACTCACTCACAATCGTTTGGAGAACTGAAATGCAGGGATTTTTCTAGTCCTACTCGGAAGCTGATCATCGCCACAATCAGAAGTAAATGATAGTGAAAAATCACAAGTTGAAAAAATCATGTTTCCCAATTTCTTAGAATTATGAAAACATGAACATTAAAACAATCCAATAGAGGACAATTTCACTATTATTCCTGAATTCTCTGCCAATGGGACTAAAGTTGTGTTGAACGCCACACCCAGCAATATTTCAGTTATATGACGGTTGTTCGTAAACATTCGAGTCTGAAACCAGACAATCCAGTGATCGACATCATGAACATCGGTATACGTAATTGTGATACGATGACATCATCAACCAAGTCATCAAGCCTTCCATCATTTCCCTTTAGGCGCCTTTTACGACAAGCACGGGCTGCTGAAAACCAGTTCTAACCGGGATCTTCACGGATACTGAAGTATTCAAGTTAGACATCAACACAACTGCCCAGAGAAACTACAGAGGTATCCGCGACACCCATCAGTACACGATGTTTTGTTGACACCGTCTGCCAAGTCAACTCGAATTATGACATCCAACCCCGGTTGTCATGTTTATCGTGCTGGGCACCCCATATACCCAGTAGTAGTTGACACTGCGAGACATGAAGCCAATTAGTCAGCGTCCACCGGACCCTCCCACCCGCTTCTCGACTCGACGTGAAGCTGAGTGCAGGATGAGCTAACCAGTTTCAGTGAGTTCTGGTGGTATTTCGGGCGGGATTCACAGACTTTTGGGAACGCTCTCCACATTATTGTTAATTACCGGGTCAGTTTACTGTGTAACGTGCATCGTTTGACGCAAGTCCGGTCAGCTTACGGTGGGAGCGTCTCAGCGTTCGAAATTAACGTCGGTCCTTAGGCCTGAAGCCGACTGAAAACCACTCGGACCCACAGCTTTTGTTTTCTGCAGGTCCTTATGTCCGACAGCTTTTTCATCCCAATAACTAAGAGTATTTTTTCCATATTTAAATATAGAGCCTACACATTCTGATCAGGACCCACAACTTTTTATGGTTCTGGGTCCTTAGGGTCTGCAGCTTTTCAGGGTTAAGGGAAACACTGGAAAGTCTTACAGGCAAGAATTTATGGATGTCAACTTCTTCTTCCTTTGAGTAATATGTCTTTTCGGAGTATATTTCTACTCCTTTATCAGGTGAATGAAAAACTAGGAAACAGATAGCTATATAAGCACATGTAAAACAACAACAGTGATAAGACAACAAGGGAAGCCAATAGTTAATTGACGCTGATTGGTATGACAATGGACAAATAGTAAGAGAGTTTAGTTTAGTTTTACGCCACACTCATCAATATTCCAGCTATATGGCGGCGGTCTGTAAATAATCGAGTCTGGATCAGACAATCCAGTGATCAACAATGAACAAATAGAAACGGGATATAATAGATAGTGTTACGTATGGAAGTCGGGTCGTGAGAGACAGTTAATGTGTGTCTTGGTGAGTGAGTGAGTGAGTTTAGTGTCAGGCCGCACTCATCAATATTCCAGCTATATGGCGGCGGTCTGTAAATAATCGAGTCTGGATCAGACAATCCAGTGATCAACAATGGACAAATAGAAGCGGGATATAATAGATAGTGTTACGTATAGAAGTCGGGTCGTGAGAGACAGTTAATGTGTGTCTTGGTGGTGAGTGAGTGAGTGAGTTTAGTGTCAGGCCGCACTCATCAATATTCCAGCTATATGGCGGCGGTCTGTAAATAATCGAGTCTGGATCAGACAATCCAGTGATCAACAATGGACAAATAGAAGCGGGATATAATAGATAGTGTTACGTATAGAAGTCGGGTCGTGAGAGACAGTTAATGTGTGTCTTGGTGAGTGAGTGAGTGAGTTTAGTTTTAGGCCGCACTCAGCAATATTCCAGCTATATGGCGGCGGTCTGTAAATAATCGAGTCTGGACCAGACAATCCAGTAGATCAACAGCATGAGCATCGATCTGCGCAATTGGGAACCGATGACATGTGTCAACCAAGTCAGCGAGCCTGACCACCCGATCCCGTTGGTCGCCTCTTACGACAAGCATAGTCGCCTTTTGTGGCAAGCATGGGTTGCTGAAGACCTATTCTACCCCGGATCTTCACGGGTTATGTGTCTTGGATCGGGCGGTCTGTGACGTGGTTGGCTGTTGGTCGATGCCCGGATGAAACCATCAGGTACAGGTGTAAAACTGACGGAGCAATGATTACTGGTCCTGGGCACGTTGTTTGTTGTTGTTTAACACCGCAATAGTTCAGTCATATGACCTGTAAGTCTTGAGCAGACTATAGACGGATTGATGGTATGAGAATGTGTGTGTGAATTCAGTTTACTATCAATCCCTAACAGTAATAGTCCCATATAGGAGAGCTCCTGAGTCTCGCAATCCTCCAAGTCATCGATCATGACCACCAGATCGATTGGTCGCTTCTAACGACGAGCACAGACAGACATACAAGGTTATTCAGTAAAAGGCCACAGACCCATCATACAGTCATTGGCATTATGGTATTGGTAATTTAGTGCACATGCTGTGTAAGAGGAACATTTCTAACGGGCTGAAGTACATGATACAGAAGAATACTAACCCCTTTATGATACAGTCTTTATTTGATTTCATAATGTGAATAAAATTGGCATTGGATCAAAATCAGTCAAATATTTCTGAATTCAGGTACATCTTAACCTTATATCAGAAAAAAAGTTCACACTTAAGGAGTACAGGAAATTCATCTTCATTTTGTCATTCAGTTCACAAAATAACCATAATCTCTAACTGTAAATAACTGTATTGTATCTTCCAGTTTCAACTGCTAAATTAAAATTACCACATCTAAATTTTGGACAGTGCAGATCTGATGTGTAAAGGAATATCAGAATATAAATATGTTTCCACATTTAAATGTGTCTTAAATTGGGAGTAATAAAAACATTTATTAGAATTTTGAATTGAAGTGACCCAACTTTAAGATTATCCGAAAGTCTCTGCTTAAATAAACGAATGAAATAATTAACATTGCCAACATCCTGACTGATCCATGCATAACTAAAACCATACTTAGTTATTAGCACAGTTTGCTAGGGACCTGTTACAACCCCACATCCCAACAGATGCCTGACAGTACGCTGTACATGTTTTGTGGCGCCATTGCACTGTACGTACCCCAGGTTCCATTGATGCCATTGTGTAACAAACGGGTATACTACTGTGAGTGGTTCTTACTCGATGCACCTATTTCGAAAACAGAACCCGACCCCAGTCCGTGTCAAGCTATCGCATGAACCACTGGACTACTCCTTACCCGTGAGGCGTAGTTTTCATTACATCAGTGCAAGTGAGGTTTTGCGTTGCCCTGAAAATATACCAATTGTTTTGCTATCGGTGTTTCGACACCTCAGAGGCATGGAAATGTCACGAACCTCGGTGTACAATAGAATATTGATGCATACATAGAACTGTCACATCGATCCCCGAACCATTTAATATATGCATCTGCCACACAAGGGTCCCAGTGCTGTTTCGTACAGGTTGAACCCGCGTTGGAAAACAATCCAACTGTTGGCAACAAGGCGTTACTCAGTCACTGTAGGTTTGCGAACACAAGAGAATGTTCGTCACACATTAAATGCGGCAGGCGGTACAGTGACAATGGGGTTGGAGACGTCGACAATCCCTTCTCACACACTACCTGGCTTTTTTCACGTTGTTGCTGTTTAACGCTAGACCGTTCGTTGTTTCACGGCGGCGAAATAGGAAAGAGCAGCCCCTAACGGGACTTAGTGTTCTAATTTAACAATCAAATTGGTTCCCTTTTTCAAATGGTTTACCAGATTTTGACTTTAACACGCCTTAAGCATGCAAATCAAAAGCTACACTTAGACATTCGTTCTAAACTGTTGTTTTGTGTCCTATGTAAAACAAAATTAAGAAATGTTGTCTTAAATATATTAATTCTTCGCCGTCGACCATGACGTCGAACGTAAACATTTAATGATGCTTGAGTTTTGAAGCGAAGCGCCATCGGTCCAACTGATCATGGCCAATTCAAATTTGAAAAATGAAATGTTATAAAAATAGACTGGCGATGTATATGTATACATGCACGGTAGATATTATGATGTGTGTTATGTGTATACGGTGCCGTCATAGTCACGGATTTTGATAATTTTGTCTATTAAACCTTTTTGACCTGAAAGATAGTAAGAATATCTCCCCTTCAAGCTAAGACCATCTCCTCCTCTTGTTGGTCCACACAGGAACATGGTGTGTTAAACCAGGAGAATGTCACGATGCCCCGGTATGTTTGCTGGTGCACTGACGAGGTTTGCTGATGGTGATCTCACGTAGCTGGGCGCGTCAGTCGTCCCTCACCGTCATCTGTAACGTTACTGCCAGCCGTGTCTACCAACTGAAACACTTAACGGGACACCGGGCGTACAATTTGATGGACAATCAGTGAAATACTGGTTCGGTGCGCTAAACAGTTGATTAGTTTCTGCGTATAACTCACTCAAATATTGACCGCCTCCGTGGTGTAGTGGTTAGAGCGTCCGCCCGGAGAGCGGAAGGTTGCGGGTTCGATCCCCGACCGCGTCATACCAAAAGACGTTAAAATATGGTACTTGTTGGTCCCTGCCTGGCGCTCGGCATTAATGGGTACAACAAGGACTGGTCGGCTCGGAGTCAGTATAATGTGTCTGAGTGGGATACCCATAAGTCCTATAGACATTCCCCTGTTATTCATGCTATGTTGCACTGCGGCATCAGGTCCGCCTCCGTGGTATCAGAGCGTCCGCCCGGAGTGGGCGATCCCCGAGCGCCATACCAAAAGACGTTAAAACCATTAAAGCTTCGGCTCGGAGTCTGGGCTATGCTTCACAATCACAGTGGGCAGCACCATAAAACCAGCTTCAGTCTGGGCTAGTACAAGCAGCCGCACATACACATACACACGCATGCACGTCGTCATATGAGCGAAATATTCTCAAGCACGACGTTAAACCCAATTTTCACCTCACCTTCACTCCAACATCCCATCTGGAAGATTTTACTCACTCACTCTGCTGTTGTCCTCCTTAGATTGTTCCAAATTGCATTCAAATGCTGCGTAAATACAAGACTAGTTAATGATATTGTTTGCCCGGGTCGAATGGAAATCTGTCAATATGTACTGTTATAACCGTGATCCTTCTGATACATTTTAAACACTCACTCACTTTGCTGTTGCCATCCTTATAGATTGCTGCAAATTGCATGCTAATGCTACGTAAATACATTTCCACTCACTCACTACCTCACTCTGCTGCTGTTCTTGCTTATTGTCTTTTTAATGATCATTAAAACTGTGTCCAGTGTTACTGCTGCATTAGGTATGGCAACCCTCAGTCTACAATCGCGTTCCGTATATAGTTGATGTTGTCCTCGAATCCAAACACCGCTTCAGTTATGATACCGGGCTCTTTTCTTGACACCCGTGAAGGTCCGGGTTAGAATATTGATCTTCAGTAACCCATGCTTATCGTAAGAGGCGACTAACGGGATAGGGTGATCAGGCTCGCTGACTTGGTTGACACAATCATGTCATCGGTTCCCAATTGCGCAGATCGATGATCATGCTGTTCATCTACTGGATTGTCTGGTCGAGACTCGATAATTACAGACATACGCCATATAGCTGGAATATTGCTGAGTGCGGCCTAAAACTAAACTCACTCATTCACTTTTCTTGACTGTGATCAGATTATGGGATTAGGTCTACAACCTGTATCAGTTTGACCAGTCGTTAAGACATAAATCACAATTCTCCCACGACTGCTATACTGTGCAGCAGATTGTGGCTCTGAGTGTATTGCTACCACTACTACATTTGGTGTTGTTGATCATTAAAACAGCTACCTCTAAGTTCTGTCTGAAACGTCAGTAAGGCAACGGAATTCTCAAAGAACCATTTTCATATCATGGATATATAGGGCTTCACTCTACAATGATCCTCTTATCCCAACTTTTACGAGGTCGGTTTCGCTGGCACCTATAAATGGTCAAGTTTATCGAGGTTTCATTAAATTGATTACTTCTACTGTAGAACTTAATTTAGGGGCAGAAAGAATGCAAGATCATACCCAGACCGCCCCACGGTTTTGTACCAATACCCTAACCCGTGAACTAGCCCTTTTACCATAGCAGCGAACCGTTGATCCTGTTTCGAACAGTGTGGGCAAATCCTCGATATGTGTTACCTACCCTCAACAGTCGCCACGTACTAACCAGGCCAAGCCGGGATCACGACTTTCATCAGTACTTTCAAACGAACAAACACTACGAGAAACTCGCTGTGTCTATGTAAAGATCTCGAGGTGTTGCAAATAGGATGTAATGTAACCAAAAGTTCACTGGAAATGTTAAATGGAAAGAACGCGGGTCACTGTGTAGTGGGACTATTAGACAGCGTTGTCAGCACACCATTCAAACTATCATACCATAATCGTGTCTCGTGCACTTGATGACACATTGGAATTATCTCCCTTGACTGTGTGACGTAACGACGATAAACGAAGGCAATGTTTCAATGTTTTTACGAACCTTGTAAAAGATACTTTCGAGTTTGTCCCTAATGAGAATGTTTTTGAAGCTTGTAGAGTCGTGACAACTTCGTTTGTCAAAGAATCCGACAGGTCTGTGTTAAACTGGATGATTCACTTCATGGTGCCGTTTGTCATTTCCCGTGCCGGACTTGTGAAATGAAATCCAGTGTCGTAAAATATAGTCACATATTATTGTCTTGTTTTAATTCAATTTTTATCTCCAATATACTTTTTATATTTTCAAGGCGGGCAATCATGTGAAGCCGGTGAAGTGAGTCTCATAGCATACAAGGAAACAATAAAGATCCGATTAAGACACCATTTCCGTGATGAATACCTTCCTCCTAGAACGTAATAGCGCCACGCACAGCTAACGCCAGATCAGTGGCGCGCTGTCTTCCATTGCTGAGCTTTTATTTGTAATATGCATCTGAAAATATGTCTCTGTTGTCAGTAACACGATGTGCATTTAATTTAAAAGCATGAAATTTTATTTTAAAAAATGAGTCAAATAACTTTAAATAATGACATGCACTGAAGAGGACGAGTGAGTGAGTGGAGGCTGTTTTACGCCAGTCAGTGATGTTACATCTACATCACGTTGAATTCAGCCTCAGATCAAGGTCTCTTTATTTCTTCGGATCGGATCGGATATAGCATGCATTAGGCCATTGTATAGTTTAAATGGCACACAAGTACACTCCCTGGCTATATTTAGGTAAAGTTATACAGACTTTAGTGTCAAGCCTTAACAATACGCTCACGATATTAGACTGGAGCAATGTCCAGTTTATTAAATTATTAATAACTTTAAAAATATGTCTGACATTTCCTAAAAACAATCCAGCATATATAATGCAATAAAAACATACAACTGGAAAAATCTGATACAAAGGTCTGTAACACTGTGTAGTCGCACACACTATAATTGTTGACAAATATTACATCTATTGACACTCAACTGTGTGTTGAATTGATTAAAGTTTTATTAATTAGCTATTTGAAGAGGAATGTTTTAATAGTTGATCTATCTTAATTTAGTCATGAATTCCGTAAGACTTCCACTTGAATGAGATGTTGCACGTCCTTTACACATGAGCAAAAACAGAGTCACAATATGAATAAATACATTTTCTGAAAGTGCATGTGTTCGATTTCATAGAGTCATGGCATAGTTAATGTGCTATATTTGAAGACCAAAGGTTGCTGTATCCGTTTTGATAGCTTAAAGACGGAAAAGGATGAATCAGTTGATTTTGGGAGCAGAGTGGTTTCTCTTACTTATATCATGTTACGTCTAAACATTAATAATGAATAATTTTGTATAACGTCCTACTTTCGCGTCGGTTGTACTTCGTTAACAACTTATAACATGCACGTTCAGAATAGTGTGTGAATTTTGGGGTGAGAATAAACCTCATCTTAATATTTATAAGGAAAGGAAAATAACATAATGAATGTTTTTACTTCGAATGGCCTTCCAATAAAATACGAGCATTTTACCTTCGAATAATGGTAAAAATTGGGAGAATAGCGAAGAATAATGTGTCTTTAGGCCGACAAATTGGTGAATTCTTCTCATATTTCTAGGGATATTTGTGAGCAGGGCTTTAATTTAGGACTAATGGGAGATCAGAAGAAGTGAATCATTCACATGTTAAATGGGATTAAACTACACTTTGTAAAGAAATATGTCTAACGTTTCTTGAAAGTAACAAAACCTCTTTCAATAAAATAAGATGGGTTGACCCATGACAAACATTCTTAACATCGTTAGTTACTCCATTGTCGCTGTATGGAGTATGAACAACATTCGCCACTACTCGCTCCTTTCCGTTACATCCAAGAAGACTCGGCTTGTCCCGGAAAAACACGCGTTGGGTCACGAATGACCTTGGAGATGCACACTGATTGGTTGTTTCTCATGACGTCACGGGATTGTTACCTTGAGTTGCCGAGCGGGACTTTCGATTACACAGCAGCTCTGACTGACACTAGCAAATTTTCACAGGCACAAATGGCGCGAAAGATCCATATTCCCCAGTCTTACTTCCGGAGACTCAGGAAGTGGTGTTCTCGACAGGCACGGAAATTCTGCTGCTCATCTCGTGTAGAAGTAAGTAGCTTTGCTTCATGTTGCCATGGCCAAAATTTGTCCCACACTGAATGTGCCTCCCGCTTCTATGGTCGTGGTTACATTTACTTTTAAGTAACGGGAACTAAACCTGGGCGTCTTCCTTTAATCACGTGATGACTTGTCAATTAATTAACGAATCAGCAGCACCGTGTGACAGTCTCTCTTAGCGTGTGCAAGAACTAGAACTAGATCTATCTGCCTAGCGTCTATCCAACTCTGGGCCCAACTCTGTTAGCCTACAATTACCCTACGATTGATTGAATATTGTTTGAGACATCCGTTATACTTGTAGTCACAGAAGCGGTATTATTAGTAGTAGTGGTACGTGTACTACAGTAGTGGTAATACTGTTGTAGCTGTAGGTGTAGTGGTAGATTAGTAGTATCAGTGTAGTAGCAGCAGCAAAATAGTAGTAGTAGTAATATCTGTTCAGTTGTAGTTACATCACGATTAGTAGTAGATCAGCACAGTAAGAAGTAGTACTTAGTAGTATTAGCAATACCTGCATTAATCGTCAGTCTTCCAAACTAATACTGAAATGCTTGAATTGAAGGATGATGAAGACGACCATTACAAGAAAACTGTGAGGAATGAACTTCCTGCAAACTCGTTGAATGGGTAAGTGTTTATTGTATGTGAGCCTGTACAAAACTAACTAAACAGTTGTGCCATTATCCCCCCTTGAGAGATTCAAGGTGCCTATTTACTAGGTTACTCAAGAGGCTTTATTTAAGCTTGATTAAAGTCACTACAGATCATAAAACACCTTTCTGTTTTTCTTTTGGTTAGCTGTTATGCTTCACGTTTGTCATGTTTAGTTGTAAATAGATATGTCATTGTCTGCAGCTGTTTCTTTTCTTTAAGTTCTTGCTGTGGACCTTGTAATTGTTTTTGTTTTCCTATTAAAGATCACAGAAGCCTACCCTGGACTTAAAGGGCTTCCTTACACCCACCCAAGGGGATTACAGCCTAGGCCTTCAGCCTACTGTGTGTGGATGTGGTGCCCCAGCTGGGGAACACCCCCCTTCTCCCATCAAGGTCTGAGCATGCAGCCCAAACTGACAGGGAGCTACCACCAGTGTCAAGCCAATCTAGTACGGAGGTCAAGGATACAACAGCAGTGTCCAGTCAACCTGAATGCAGACACTCAGTCCTTGGGCACTTTCACCAAAGCCGTATTCCAGAAGTATGGAACCCGTAAGTTGACTGTTATGGTTAAATCATTGAAATTTGTAAGAATTGTCTCACTGCTAACAGTGACTTAGCTGTCATCAATGATCAGTCATCAGTTCTCCATTCATATGGTATTCATCACAATTTTGCCCTTTACTTTAAATGGATTCTGTATTAGGTTTGTAATTATGCCTTTTATTTCAGGTCAAGGCATGCTGGCACACAATGCACCTCGGTGGCATTCACCGCCATTGTTGCCAGTGCGGTTGTCCCTGTTGGTCTCTGGACTCCAGCCACACTGGACGGGGTCCTCGTAATGGGGGACCGTCTTCATGACGCCATACTCAGCAGGATGGGAAGTAAGGCTCCCACCAGCAAACATCTGGCAGCAGATGAGATGTTGGAGCAGCCTGAAGACTGTCAGTTGAGATGGCCTGTCCGGTGCAGCCGAGTCAGTGAAATGCAGGGACTCCTGTACCCTGGCAGCATGGACTCGAACTCCCTAAAGAGCCAGCTGACCTGGGAATGGATGCCAGGTCAGCCCCTCAGGGAGTTCGGGGATGCAGTGAGGAGGGTTTTCAACGCCCAGGACTGTCAGGGAGCTGTTGTCACCCTTGCAGGCGGAAGCTCGGCCTTGCTGCACAACCCTGTTGGAGGCTGGATGGTTGTTGACAGCCATGCCAAGGATGTTTTGGGCACCACTGATGTGGAAGGGAAGTCAAGTCTCCTCAGGTTCCCTTCCCTGAAAAATGTGGTAGCCTATTACGGAGGAATGGCTGTTCGACCCACCCAATACTCACTCACAGGATTCAAGGTCGAGTCAATGTCGCAAGGGGGATAACCTCACTAGCAGTACCCTCCCTCAGCATTCGGGCTCCTGCCACCTAGAGGTGCATTTGTCCATTCTGCATGACTGAAGAAAGCAGCAGAGATGCTGCTGCCTGATGGTGCTCTATAAACATGAACTGGAATGTATGCTGCCTGGTGGTCATGTGGAGGTTGATTTGTCCACTTTACTGCCTAGAAGAAAGGACTAGAGATGCTGCTGTCTGATAGGGCACTGTGAACATGCTGTGATAGTGACACTATGCTTGAAGTGGAGTGTATGCTGCCTAGTGGTCATCTCGAGGTTGATTTGTCCACTGTACTGTCCAGAAGTAAAAGGACCACAGATGCTGCTGCCTGATGGTGCACTATAAACATGCTGTGATAGTGACAGTGCATGGATTGGATTATGTTGCTCGGTGGAGCATTTGTCCCATTAGTGGACTGGACACATTATGCTATTGCACATGGAGTGAACACTGTACTGCTGGTGACATATGCATCAATGAAACTTGTATACTGTCTCTGGTTGTGAAACAGATACAAGAAAATGCAACTGATACCACAGGCTGTGTTTTCCTTCAAGATTAAGAATGCAGAAACTTATAAAGGCTAATATTTGTCAGGTTTATATCGAAATGTATGCAGTGAAGACGTTTCTAAAGTAAACAAAGAAAAGAGACTGATCTCTCTAAAAACATTTACTCTTTGTAAATAGTGTAAACAGTTGTAACATGTTAAATTGAGATTGCACTTTCTCAGTCAAAAGTAACCAGTTATAAACTTGATTTTGATTTGCATGTTATAGCCTTCTTTTATATCAGGGTATTATTTATGTTATACAATCACTAAAATTCTATAAAAAAAATGATCACACAGGTGAATGTGTTGATATAAAAGGTGTTATGTTACAGAAAATTGATGTTATTGTTGCAGTTATATGAATAAAATTTAGTTCAAATGACATACATCCCATGTGTTGCTTATTTTGCTACTGTTTTCAGGTTTTCTATAGTTTGTATAGATTCATCAATGCAAGTACAACCCATGACCATAGTAAAGCTTTCTTAGACAAGTAGACTTAATGAGGGTCAAGTTCATGTCCATGATTATTAGTAGCAATGTGTGTACATGCGAGTGTGTACACATGTGTGTTTGTACAAGCCAGGACCTGTTTTATAGTGCTATCCCACTGAGATAACATCCAACAAATATAGCACAGTATACAGACTCCGAACAGTCCAGTCCTGATGCCCATAATGCTGAGTGCTAGCCATGATAGCAACAAATTACATCAATTAACAAAGTGAACAAACTACCAACCTCCTTTCAGACAGATGTTCTATCCACAAGACCACCGCGATCTTGATTTGTTGTTCAATATCTGAATCAAACCACCTCTACAGCATGGGTGGCTGAAACTTCTGGAAAGGGACATAAAGATATGCTCCCACTCAAATGAATGACATCACTATAAACTTTTCATTACATTTTATTTCATTCACTCTCCAACACTTGCAACATATCTAATGTCACACCAACAGCAACATTTCCTCAACAAAGGATATCTTCGTCATATACTCACATATGTACAATAGCAAACATTCTCAACAACAGAATTATGTAAATGACATAACTGACAAAACGGACTTAAACCCTACATCAATCTATGACATAGCAGACCTGGTAATCTGAGGAGCGCTGAAAGTAATGAAGCCAAGACTGAGTTTGATTAACTTCTTGAGGTACATATCTTGAGTGTTGGGTTTGAACAACGGTTGTTATACACGGAATGTCAGCTAACTATGTGAAGGAAGCCCAGAGTGACACAAGGTGCAAACCTCTGCCAAGTTAAGAAACAGGCATGCTAACATGCCAAGGATCATGGATCTTGCATTCTTCTTGAGGCCATGGACAACCTGGCAGTCAAGGGATGCAACTCTGCACATCAACTGACTGACTGAGTTTGGTTTTACGCCACTTTTAGCAATATTTCCAGCAACATCACGGCGGGGGACACCAGAAATGGGCTTCACACATTGTACCCATGCCGGGATTCGAACCCGGGTCTTCGGCGTGACAAGCCAACGCTTTAACCATTAGGCTACCCCACCGCCCCTCTGCACATCAGGCTTTAGACAATGTGAACACCTATATCACCATCTGCACTGAAGATGGCCGAAACATGAGTGATCACCAGTCTATCCGAATTTAGAATAAACACGCCACAGGAACAAAAAGACTGATCATGAGGCAATGAACTGAGAAAGTTTTTGTAACAGAGGATATCTTCCTAAAATGGTTTTACTTTGGAGACATTTCCTAAACAGGATCTGAATTTTCAAATCTTGTGAACTGGATTATCCTGCTTATGACACTGCTTCAGCATCCATGCTCAGTCTGGTAGGTCTGGGTTATCAATAAGGATTACCAAACATATATATCCAGACAAAACTCTCCGATTCATGTACCATGTCTACCCTTTGCCAAATTCTTATATTCACAAATAAAGTCAACCAGCACAGTATTAGTAAAACAAAACAAGCATAACTACAAAGATATATTTACAGTTGTAACCTTGGAATAAATAAACCAGAAAACTAATATGATAAAAGAAGCACCAACATCAAGTGATGATACAGGTAATGTATTACATACAATGCTAACCCCAAACAATCCTTGCATTCACATCCAACACATGCACCCTAAACCCATGGTTACCATGGACACAGATCATTCACCCAAGTAGAACACATGTTCACAAAGTCAGCAGAAAATCAGCCAAAGTTTCTGACCTGTGTAAATAATTTACATTATTTACCAAAATCGCCAGAAAAACTGAAGGTATTGTCCAGATCCAAATATGTCACCATCATACAAAGCAATCATCAGCTATAAATGGATGAAAAAAGACCAGGGTTGATGGCCAAGGTTTTCATGCATTTCAGCTGTAGCGCTCACACATTATGTGACGACTCAGTTTTATCCTGATTTCATTTTCTAAGGAACACCAGTTTTGTAAAGAGTGTAATGAAAAGTTGAAAAGATAAGTAGACTGACTCATCAGTTCTGCCTGTGACTTGCTTTTATAGACAAACTCTGTTCCCATATCATTCTAACCAGGCTAAGCGAGTTTTGAAGAGCAAAGGCCTTGTAATTTTGATGTCTAAAGAATAAATGGATAAAGCAGTTTCTCAAATACCAGCCCCTTTTCTAGTTAGGTTTGAAAAGATCTGGTCAAAGGTACCTATCATAACATCCTAATTATGCTCCACTGCAGCTGGGACTAAAATATGATACTGAACCGGTTTTAATGTGTACATGTCACTCATAATCCCCAAATTGAAACATACCTCTTTATGTTCAAATAACAGCACAGCTAAAATACCTAATAATTCAAGGAGCCACTATGAATTTCCGTGACAATCACTTTCAGGAAACAAAGCATTTACATATTCCTGGACATAAAACAAAACATAATTTGATTATTATACAGCACATCCCCTTGAAATTGTGTTTGTCAGTAGGTTAGTTGTCAATGAATTAGACTCGACTGTTTCTTATTAAAACATACACTTACAAATAGGCATGTATTGTATGGCAATGATTCAAAAGACATATCTCACCTCTCTTACAACCGAGATGCATATGTATAGCGACATTGAAATGGAGATCTATTTCCACGGCTACCTTACAAGTGAGATAAACATCAAGATGAGGTGAACTATGCGGTAGATGATACAGTATCTGGGCCGTATAAGGGCCGTATCGGCTTATGTACGGGCAAAAAATGTGCACAATACAGTAGGAAATAATTTAGAAAACGTAGCCGATACGCACCACAGCAATGGTGTACGGTCTTAGAATCATTTACAGATGTATTTTTCTGAAAAAGCATTGTTTTATTGTTTTATGACCAGTTTACACAAGACTAGCAATATTGTGGTGCATATATGAAACAAAACACAAGATTACTGATACTCCATTAATTTCCATTCAAATGTACACTTCAGTAATCCTGTATTGAACAATTAAGGAGTACGTACTGCAGTATCAAACAGCTGTATAGTTCTAGCCCACTGACATACCATTTAACACCCACACCCAGTTGGATACAGTATACCTTATCAACAGATCCCCTTAGAGGAGAACATAAGCCAAAGTAATAACAATTACCATCTTGTAACTTTTTGTAGTTTGAGTCAGGCACGACTAGAGATGAGACCATTAACCTTCCCTTTCTTCCATGGCCAACATATACCTTAAGACATACATGTTTAAGATACTGAGAGATACTGCTGATACAGTAGTGCTGGAACAAGGCAGCTGACTCGGATTGAGCAAAACAGTGTAATATAATAATAATAAGTCATCTTCTATAACGCACAGTCTCCAAACACAAAGTGCTTGCTCACGGAGCTGAATCAGAATCTGATTCTTAGAGTATGACACCCCAACCCTGTCCTTAGTGAACACAAAACTCTTCAACAACAAGTATCATCAATCATAGAATACTGACAAAATATATCTCTATAGAAAAACATGGTATCAAATAATCAAAGAAAGTATGCCTGAACCTATCAACATTGAGAGGTCAGAAACAGCCAGATTGATAAACTGATATATTAAGATATGGATGCAAACGATACTGATCTCAGACATTGAATGTTCGAAGTTAACATCAATGTCTACCAGTCTGAAAATAACCCAACTTCTACCATAAGAAAGATTTCAACACTGTAGATCATTTTTGTGGATTAGTCAAAATATAAACATGAATGTCTAAACCTGCATCTGACAAATGTTTCCAAAATGCCTAAAAGCTCTGTTTGTCCAGCTTATTTTGATCAGTGTAGATCATATTATTATAGTTATATTTGTTTAAAATATGAATACAAATAATGCTAAATATAAACTTTTCAACCCACCCACTTCTGGACAGAAACAAGCCAATCTTGTTCATCAAGGGAGGTAATCCACAAATATGGGCAACAAGGCAGTGTCAACTTATAGTAGTCTTTCAAAGTAAAACTTTCTGCAGGAAGTAACAAAATATACAAACTAGAAACATATGAGTCTAATTCATCAACACATTTGTAAATAAACAAATACAGTTATATGGTAATGTACAAAGTTTTGTCCTAAAATGGTGTTGTATTAAAGCTCATCATGTTCGTGCATGAGTCGTCCTGTGTTGGGATCGTTGGCTGGCTTGATAAAGATGCCCTCATTGACCATCCAGTAGTTCATCTCCGATGGTGTAGGGTAGCCACTGACCTCACGCTGTCCATGGATCGGTCGGCCATAACTGTCACCACTGATATGTAAGTAACTGAAATACAAACCATAAGGCCAAATAAAAAGACGTTGTGGTTCCGATTACACCTCTTTATAATTAAGGGTAGGTGATAGAATTTTATGTTTTTTTCGATTTTTAGAAGTAAAGTACAAACTAATAACACATTTATCAATGTGTAATTGTTTATTCAATCAAGCTTTCGGCCATCATTTTGTCTTTATCAGAATGACCGATGTCTCTCGATGCTCCTTCATTCTATTACATTAAAAATGACAAAGCATTCAACTTTCCTATAAACAATTTCATTTCAGAGATTTAAAAGAGACTATTTGATTTGTTACTTGAAGCAGAGACTGCAGGGTTTTATGCAAAACAGAAATGTATGCACCAAATGCAGTATGCATCATTGTATAGCATAGATGCAGAAAAAATACACATTACACCCCTAAAGGATGCACAAGATGCAGAAAAAATACACATTACACCCCCAAAGGATGCACAATAATGTTTACTGTATCAGAGAATATAAGGTGACTAATGGGATTGGGTGGTCAGGTTTGCTGACTTGGTTGACACGTCATCGTATCCCAATTGTGTAGATCGATGCACATGCTGTTGATCACTGGATTGTCTGTTCCAGACATGATTATTTACAGACCACCAACATACAGCTGGAACATTACTGAGTGCGGCGATAAACAACCAACCAACCAATCATAATAATGACATTCTATTCTTGTTGAGCTTGATCCTGAGCCAGAAGATGAGTAGCCCTGAATGAGCATTCTAAACAAGTAAAACTGATGCAGGCGCAGGTCTTCCGGCAAAATCATACATAAGGCTGTTATAACAAACAAGAGTTACTTACTGTTCTGTGACAACATTCTTGATCCTGACCTTGTCTCTCCGGCTCCAGTACTTGCTACTGCACACAATAACCCAGTTGTCACCTGCAGCACATGCCCAACAACATGTCAATGGCCTAACAATCGATTCTTAATAAAACAACATCTCCACCATATCCGGGCAAATTGAGATGAAAGAGTTCAATCTTGTATCCAAGATTACAATATGTGTGCATGTATTTCTATGTACCTGTCCACTTTTACTAAAGCTTGTTTGATGTATGTAAGCCAACTGAGATACTATGTCTGAGTTTAATATCATCCTATTCGGACAATTTTTTCTTTTATTCCCTCAATACTGTGCAGCTGGGAGGCAAACAACAAGTACTATTTTTCTACAGGTGAGGTGAAATTGGGTTTTACGTCGTACTTGAGAATATTTCGCTCATATGACGACGTGCATGCGTGTGTATGTGTATCTGCGGCTGCTTGTACTAGCCCAGACTGAAGCTGGTTTTATAGTGCTAGCCCACTGAGATACCATGCTGCAGTGAAGCATGAATACCCCACTCAGACACATTATTCTGACTCCGAGCCGACCAGACCTTGTTCTACCCATTAATGCCGAGCGCCAGGCAGGGACCAACAAGTACCATATTTTAACGTCTTTTGGTATGACGCGGTCGGGGATCGAACCCACAACCTTCCGCTTTCCGGGCGGACGCTCTAACCACTACACCACAGGAGGCGGTCTATTTTTATTTTATTTTATTTTTTTACATATTTTCGTAAAATGCAGTGATGAATCTATCAACTATCTGATTTCTTGATAGACGCATTATCTACCAGGCATAGATTATTTATCATGAACCACAAAACTTGGGCTCACTTAAAAAGGTGTGTGGTGCAGCCAAACCTATAAGCCAGGTTGCACTCAGTGCAGGTGCTGAATAAACATGATATCGCACCCTGGTGATGGATGAACACGGTGTGCAAAACTACAGATGTATTCATGAAGAATATGTCAGTGAAACCTTTGTATCCAATAGTGAAATTAATTACTCATAACTAAATAACTAATTCCCCAGCAATACTGACCTTCATCGCCCTCTCCTTCCTCCCCAAAGGCACTGACCTCCAGGTTGTGAGACAGAGGTGACTGGAAGTGATGGCTGTGTAAATTACGTTTTGTTGATAAGTGCATAAGACGGATTGTCTGACCACATTTTACTGGAGTCCTGTAAATATAGCAGCACAAAATAAACAGCAACGCCTGTCACTAATATAACATAAAAGTTTTGAGTGTAACATTTGACCAACAATTAGTTGCTATCAGTTTGAAAATACTATTTAAAGTCTACAGTCACTCATCAGAAGTCTGAATCTAGCAAAGATCTGTCCAGTTCAGTAAGCTAAGCTAATAGTCCATAGTGAGTGTGTAAGTTTGGATTTACCCCCGCTTTTAGCAACATTCCATCAATATCACGGCGGGGGGCCACCAGAAATGGGCTTTACGCAGTGTACACATGTGGGGAATCGAACCCGGGTCTTCAGCGTGACAAGCGAACACTTTAACCACTAGACTACCCCACCGCCGCTAATAGTCCACAGAATAATACTAACATTTTATGAGAAATGATGCCAAGAGCCATGTTTGAACAAACAGACTGAAACTTATAGACAATGAATGCATTTATAAACATATGAAAACTGACAATGATGCTAAGAGCCATGTTTGCATGAACAGACTGAAACTTATAGACAAGGAGTGCATTTATAAACATATGAAAACTGAATTTTCACATCATATTGTGATCAGAAAAGCAACATGTTAGAGAGTTTATTTCTTTTACTCCATAGAATTCCATTCATATCATGGCAGCCCGTAAATAATCATGTCAGTCAAGCCTGAAAGATTATCAACAAAGCTAATTATCTCCCCTTACCCTCGCAGACACATTGCTCCTGTCTTGCCCCGGATCTGCCAGTAGCTGTTGTGATCATCAGAAGAGTCAACACCTGTCACCGACTAGAAACACAACAAGCAGCATTAAACACTGGCAAGGCAGAATTCTAGGCTTTTAGCCAAACATATGTACAAGATGGAAGTATTCTAAAGTACTGTTGGAAATGCTAGAAAAATGCTTTTTGACTTTTATGTAAAAATCAGAGATAATACAGTTACTGAAATGACAAATATCACTTTAAGAAACATCTACCTAATGTAGACCGAGGGAATAAATTTTGAGACATGCCCTAAAATGTGTTTTTACATATGAAAATATCAAAAACTTAGAAAAATAAGGGGTAGTGGAAGGTTATTTGATACAAACACTAACTGCCTGTGTTATGTCATCAGCATGCATGGCATCGACAGGTGAAATTGACACCTGAGCACAAGCTCAGGTGAGGGGTCATCTCAATACATTTTTTTCTTCATAATGTTGAATATTTGTAGGTATAGTATATGTATTGGTTATGTAAGGGATCATGTGATATCCACATTTCGCACACCAACAACAACACACACGTGTGTGTGTGTGTGTGTGTGTGTGTGTGTGTGTGTGTGTGTGTGTGCTGTAAAAATAAACATACATTATTGTGCATGATCCCATCACTTGTGCATGAATGTTTTGCATGTCAACGGTATATTTCTTTGCAAAATATGGATGTAATTCAATCCCATCACTTGTGTTGTGTTATCAATTGGTTGTAGAAATGTGCAACGTTTTAATAGATGTTTTGCATGTCAACGGTATATTTCTTTGCAAAAATATGGATGTAATTCAGTCTTATTCAATATGATTTGCCATGGCTACCCCACCATCCCATCAAAACAATCAATCATAAAACTATGAGTTCATTGTTTCTTGTTTTGCACCAGTCAATGGAGAAAGATGACAAACTATCAGTGGAGTCACAGAGCCTGGCAGAGAATTATCTAGACCTCTGTAAGAGGCTTGAATGCTTTGGATAATACTATGCATAGACTGATAAAATATACAAGACTTCAAGAAATTGAGAACTTTTAAAAGATATCCATATTGATTTATCAAAGTATTTCCCTGGACAAGCCCATATCTTGGAAGCCTTGATATAATATATCTGTGGCCACATGAATTAATCACCTCCATATTCCAATAACAACAAAATTGCACCTCATAGCCTTTACCTTCAAAAGAGAATTCAGCATACATGAATCAAGATAAGTTTCATTCTTGAATTTGTAGGAGCTGGTTGGAATTGTTGCCACTTTCAATAGAACTGCAGTTATCAAAGCAAGTGAGGTAAGTTACTGTAAGCAAGCACATCCTAGACACTCATACCTTTTTTGACTAACACCCCGAGCAAGAGTATTGTGCTGACCAGTCAAGAATCACAATCAGGAATTAGAAAACATGACCAGGAACCAATATTACCAGCTGATTAAGTTCATCATTTACTCCACACAGTAGATTACCTGATTTCCTGTGCCCCCATTAACCAGCAAGTTTTGTACTGTGATCAAAGCCTACACACAAACATCTCTTTAAACAACTTGTGGGGACCAAGATGCTGTCTTTACCTGCTGTCCACTTCCTGAGCCATATTTCACATGCGAGTGTAGGCGGACACTGGTGTAGGTATTGAGCAGTTTTAGAGTTGAGCCACATGTCACATACTCATAGTTCATCTCTGAAACAAGACGGTTCACACAACATTCTATTTTACACCAAGGCAAGAACATCTGTAACATTCTTTGCATTTATTTCAAGAGAAAACAGACAAATAAATGTTGTTTTGCATGAACACTGAACAGTATCCAGTTTATTACAGCATCTTTTCACCTTGTAATTTTCAAGTTGTGAAAACCCATGGGTAATAAACATGAGGTATAATCCAAGCAGGAAGGGCGTTTTCTGACCATAGCAAATAACAGATCGGTAAGAGTTCCTTACGTATCCCCCACCTATTTTTTTTTAAAAATACAAAGATATACAAGTAATGAAAAGTACCTTATAAAATAGGCGGGGGGTACGTAAGAACTCTTTCCAACAGATCAACTCCTGATCGATGTATTGAATTACCAATGAGTCAGTAAACATTGATGTCTCACAACATTCTGTTATGGATACACCTAAATGAATACACCTAAAAGACACATGCAAACAAATCGGTAAGACTTCCGCCCGTATCCCCCCTAGATTTTAACGATAAAGAAAAATATCTTTGAGGGGCATTTTTGGAAGTTGAATGTGTCTTTCAGCATGTTCAGATACAATTAAAGAAACACGTTTAAGAAACTCATCCTTATCTAGATGAGGAATATATATTCAGGTGATATGATTTGACTAGAATGAAATTTAAGGGGGGATACGGGCGGAAGTCCTTCCAACAAATCCTCATTTTAGCCTGATTCCATGACGGTCATTGGGGCACTGGAAACCTATTTTACCCTGGAACCATCACAAGGTCTCTTGATCATTTGGATCAGTGAAATCGTTAATAAAATAATATATGTTTACAAATATATCCTGCTTATCTTACTACATGAACATCCAAAGAGAAATTACATGAATAGAATGACCATAAAATGAAACATGAGCAGAATTGGTACAGATCTTTGTGGGGAAACGAATCATAACACCAAGCTATGATAAAACATTAAAAGCAAATCTACTGCTGAAGAAATGACAGTGAAAAAAAGAGAGAAAGTTAACATTTTAGAGACTTGAGCGTCCCTGTTTGAGTTTAATATAAAATTATATCTCCAAAAGGTGAACGTACATCAACAGTACTAATGCATTTAACTGAGTAAAACCAAAGAAATAACGTTTGTTTCTTCAATTCTTGTTGACCAGCCCCACACACATCATCTACAATACATGTCCCCTTCATGCATTGGCACATATCTGCCCCGAACAAGGATTAAATATCCATGACGGTCTCAGCATTTGTCACACGCAATCTTATCCGTAATCCTGGCAGATAAAGCAAAATGAAGAAAAAATCACTGACTATTTATCAACAACTATGAAAGATTAAAAGTGTGTACCTCTTGATAACGCATGTTTGATAAATCCGCACAAAAACAAAAGCGAAGCAGCCCAAGTCAGCAACTCCTTTACGAACGCCGCCATGCTGGAAAACTAGACACGTAATGCTCAACTCCACACGTGGTTGGCTGTCATTGGAGAATACAACAAATTGAGTTACTTCCCTTGGACATCTTTTTCCACTGCATTGATGCATACAGGAAGTGTTGGTTGTTGTGTTGTTAAGAACGGATACGTTTTGGCTGCTGCGGCAACCTGAAAAAAAGGGGAATTTGTTTATGTTGGGGGACGTGCAATTGTCATCCTCGATTAACCAGTGTTTCAAAAATGAATTAGTAAGAGTACAATGGATAATCGAGAATGTCCGGCTCAGCCGAACAACACAGGTATATATATACTGATAGAAATAAATAAAGGAGCGTCTCACAAGGAAACATTTTGCTTGAATGCCGCATTTAACTGAAGATCATCAGATACTGTTTTGCAGTGCTGTGTCATATCACATAAAAGACATAGTTACTTAAAATCCAACAATACGCGTAGACGCTTGATCGTGCTGTGACGTACGTTTTGGCTGTACGAGGTACGCGTAACGTGGGCATACGGTGTAAACTGGAGTAATGAAAGCAGGGGCATAGCTACCATTATAAAAAAAGCCCGGACTTACACATTATTGTTGCTAAAAAGAATATATTTTTTCTAATTCTTGCCAGAAATAACTAAAATATTGTCTAAATATAAAGCTTTGCGTCCTGTCGGGCTTACACTAACAAACTGGCTTGCTACGCGCCTGGAAAGTGTTTAAACATATAGCCTGTGTTTCATATACTATATATGCATACATGTACTACAAATATAACACCGGGAAGATAAAAGCATGTTTTACCAAACACATACATGTACACGTGATTCATACACAATTACTAATGTGACATGCACTTTGTCCGAGAACCTATCAATGAGATAGTTATAGAGATAGAAAATTAGTGGTAATTAATGGTAATCAATGGTAAATTGGAACAGAAAATATTTCTGCAAGAAGGGGTCCCATATCCGGCTTTGTACAAATGTATAATGGCATATGTCTTATTCGAGACAGTTTGTTCAATATACATGTATCCCGTTAACAAATATATGACCTTGAACAGATCTCTGCCAGAACGGCGGGGTATCATATGTAGTGGTCAGAGAGAAAGTATGTGACCTGACGTGACGAGACGTGAACTCAAAACCAGTGGAAATGCTCGACTCACAATGGTACAAAAAGTATTCAGAAGCTAGGTGCGGCATCTACATTGTGAAAAAAAGTGACGTCATCGGGGGCTCATGCATTAGGACGGCGGATCAGCACACGCACAGTTACCAGGAGACTCCGGTCAGCAGGTATCAGAGGTTACCGACCGTTCAGAAGTCACATGTTGACGTCGTAGTACGACGGTGGAAGCGTCAGGACTGGTTACACGTGGTCTTTGCAGATGAATGCAGATTCTGTTTATTTATAGCTGGTGGCAGACAGCGCACATGTTTACCGTCGCAGAGGTGAACGAACATAAAGCTGCAGTCAGCGTGCAAGAAGTCGTTCCTTGCGGTGGAGGTGGCGTCATGGTGGAATTTGCGGAGACCAGAAAACGCCACTAGTCGTCATTAATGGAAATTTAAATATGTTATAGACATAATAACACTCGTCTTGTCGTTCTACATTACCTTCAGCGCCGATGTGTTCTGTACCACACAGCTCGTATTCAAGTGAACTTCCATGAAGGAAACATTTTTTTAACGTCGACGTCTTACCAAGGCCGGTATGCTCTCCGGTTTTGGGGGTTTTTTCATAGATAAAGCATCTCCGGGACATCTTGGACAGACGAGTTCGACCTCCTGACAATATATCCTCCCGCCAACATATAAGAGTTGATACAAGCTCTTCAGGACGAACGGAACCTCTTACCACGTGACCTCATCAGACGTTGGCATTTTCGGTTCGACATAGGGTTCGTGCATGTTTGAAGGCACGGGATAGCCATACAATTTAGGTATTAAAGTGGGAAGGTTTTTTTACTCGAACCACTTTCTACGGTTGAATGAAATGTGGTGAAAATACGGACAGCCGAATTTACAGCTTGTTCAGCTTGACCTGATCAAGTGAATAGTAATGAATTGCGTGACCGTGTCACAACTGGTTGTGTCTATTATTGGGAAGGGGTGCACCTTTGTTGATCATGCAGTTGATTGTCAACCTGTCCAACAGCCGATACAAGGTTTCCGTTTGACATCTCAGTGTCGAGAAATCGTCAGCAATGTCCTTTCTTTTAAAAAGAAGCTACAGATGGTTTTATGTTTCCGATTCGGGTTTTTAGTGGACTACTGTGACAGAAATATTGCAGTTGAAGATGAAATTATAGAAAAAATGATAATTGAACTGGGTGTAGAGTGTGACAGCGAGAGTGAATCGGATTGTGCAAGTAACTGACGTCTGTACGTTGTAAAGTTAGTAAACCAAACTAGATAGCATCTGACTGTATAAACAATTCAATTAAAACATGAAATGATTGTTTTTTGAGAAGTGTTGTTTTCCGGGACAAGTTTTGTAACGAATCCATGTACATGTATGCATACTTCGCACGAACACAACATTAATAACATTCTCTGCTCCCCTATTTAATGAAGTTAACTCGACCTGCCGTTTGTGCCATTTGACCTCCCGGGTCATGCATATGCAGAGTAGCTCGGGTCAAGCTGAACAAACTGTACACCCCAAGTGACTTTGAATGTCTTTTTGGCAATATTTGACTGTAGAACGCCAATTCTCAGTTGGTCATTATTTAATGAAACTGTCCATTTATTAGGTATACTTGTTCTCACACATTCGCTGTTTTTAGCTTTTTAATTGTCCTTGTGGTTTGTCATTGTAATCTGGGGCGGTGGGGTAGCCTAGTGGTTAAAGCGTCCGCTCGTCACGACGAAGGCCCGGGTTCGATTCCCCCACATGGGTACAATATGTAAAGCCCATTTCTGGTGTCCTCCGCCGTGATATTGCTGGAATATTGCTAAAAAGCGGCGTAAAACCATACTCACTCACTCACTCGGTTCGATTCCCCCACATGGGTACAATATGTAAAGCCCATTTCTGGTGTCCTCCGCCGTGATATTGCTGGAATATTGCTAAAAAGCGGCGTAAAACCATACTCACTCACTCATTGTAATCTGATGCAGAGTCTTTTTTGCCGTTAAGATTACTGAAAGATGGCATTAAGGCTGAACTCACTGGAAGTGCAAAACCCCAATTCCAATATGATCCGCACTTCGAACCATGGATAAGTCCTTTCAGGCATCAGTAAACAAAGCCATGGTTTCAGAAAGAGGCTATGGAGCAGAATCTGAAGACGCAGAGTTTCTTATCAGGGTCCCATTCCACAAAGCCTTCGTAACGCGACGACATTCGTAAGCCTATTTATAAACTACAGAGTTACGACAGGTCGTAACGTTACGAACGCTATGTGGATCGGGACCCAGGCTAGGCAACAAGTCTCCCTGCCTAGCGACAAGTTTCTGAATACTGAAACCCAAACAGACCACACCCTGTGACCAATCGCAAATCTCACACACCACACAGTCATCAACACAATGATTACTGAAGTACAGTAGTAGGTTTTAGATTTAAGTTTAAGAAAATATTTGAAAGGCACACGTTCACGACGAGAGCAGTTGTGGAGAACTGAAAAAGTTGGAAATGCACGCCTACAAATACGCAAAGCCTTTGACTGAATAAGGGCCAGTTAGAATTTTCAGACGAACACACATAGTAAGTACCTCGCGGCCATTTGTTCACAACTTGAGATATGTGAAAGTCCCATGTTCGCATCCGAAGCTCTGTATCCGAAGGATATTTGCGTATGGTTGTCACAATTAAGATAGAACTGGACTGAGAAACCTCCAGACCGTTGTGAAGCCTGAATATTTGATTGTGCTTTTGAAGGCAAACGTTTAGGTCTGCCGAGAAAGGTGATGGTTCTAGATTTGTTGGTTTTGCTGGGAAGAAGGAAACTCTGATAAACGATTTACTTCTGTCTGTGGAGATTTTGACAGATTGAGGACAGTGTGCAAAATAGTTTCCAATAGTTGCTAGCCAGTCGGGCTAGCTATGCCTGAAAGTTACTAGCCCACAAAATAATTCACTATCCCGAAATTTGAATGTAGACACGGTTTCACCATGAACCTGCTAATATTATGAACATTTTTATTAGGCCATAATATTGCGAGACTTAAAAATGTATTGTAACTTAATAAGTCAGAGAGAGTGATATATTTACAAAATGACCCCATGAACATTCACCAGCCAGTCGGGCCAGTAACTGGAGATTGACTGGCCCAACTGGATTTTTACTAGCCACAGGCTAACGGGCCAGTGGCTATTTCGCACACTGATTGGGGCAGTTGGTTTTGCTGGAGTATATCAAACAGTAAGTCAGGGGACATTGGGTCTTGAGGAGTAGAAGTTGATCAGTTGAACCATCAAGTCACCTTCAAGTATATCATCGATGTCAAAGCATACTTGATTATGTCCATCCCATAGAGCATTTCAACACCCACATCTTCTTCAAGAGACTCAGTCAGCCAAGTAGACTGTAAATTTAGTGAAATATGAAACAGGCAAATGTATGTACAATTTTCGGGATCGTGTCATAGGCCAAGGTCAGGGGAAAGTCAAACATATTTCAAAATCCCAAGTTCCCCCAAATAATAAGACTTGTGGGTACCGCAAGAGACTATAGTAAATCTTGTCAGAATTGCTCATATTAGCCCCTCTCACTCATTTACATGTACTAAGAAAATGTTGTCATTTGTTTGGAACAGCAGTTGTCATGCTATGTTTATAACATTAGAGACATTTTCAAGAACGCTTCCTTTCTCCCTCCCAAATTTTGTAAAACATTATTACAGATTGGCGCTAGGTGCTTGGAGGACATTGGTTCTGAAAATGTCATGTTTCAAGAATATGCATCAGGTTATACTTCACAAACAAACATCAGATAATTATTCCTCAATTGAAAAAGAAACTCTTGCTCTCTTATTAGCTTTTTAGAATCTGATGTGTATTTGGTTTTAACTTCGTTTCTGTTCCCCTGTGAACACTGATCACAATCCACTGACTTTTTTCATAGAAAAAAAGAACAAACCCATGGATTTGATTGGATAACAAACATATTAAATGCAAAAGTACCATTGCTGTGGATGCATTATCACATTTGTAATCATTATGATCATGTACCATGTGTCCTATCATGTACTGCTTACAGTGCAATATTTACCAAAAAAGGTTCTTTCTATGTTCAAACATCCTTTTTCTGAACAGGGAGTGTTATATGGTCTTGTCTTTGAAGAGGGAGTGTATATGGTCTTGGAATGTATTGTTAAACAATGTTGTACTTGTATTAAATTGTTTCTGTTAAAAATTAGCAAAAGTTCTGTATGTAAATGGGTGAATCTACATTAGAATCTATGTCGAAATGTCACCTGTACAGAATAAAGAAGTTCTATATCCATAAAAATAGTCCTCATTCTTTATTCACATACCAGCTGCAGTGTCATACAGCTGGAATATTGTTGAATGTGGAGTTAAACTGCAAAGAAATCATTTTGCTTATCAGGATATATACACCATGTACACCAACATCTTTTCTGACATATTTAATCTAGAAGTGTTTGCCTCTTTCCTTTGACCAGGTGATTGAGGTAGATGAACATTAGATTAAGAGTGCTCTCCCTTCTCTCACATCAGAGAAATAGCTGTTGGACATGTATCCTCTTTATTACACATTTCTTGTATTTTCAACTGGCTTATTGACATTTTCATCTTTTATCAATTTGTTGTTCTATATTTGGATGTAAAGCTGATTACAATCACTCTTGTTCATAATTATGAAATGAAAAGACAATGAATGTGTGTACAAACATTAATGTGCATAACAAAGTGGAGAGTTTATCATGATCCAGTGCTTAACATTGTTTTTTAATTTGATGGACATGCTGTTGTTCAGCATCACTAAATATTGCATGGTGCTAATGAAATAATTTGTCCTCACTTCTGATATGGATTCATTAAGTCTTACTGATCTTAATAATTTAGCATTTATAGTTCTTCATGCATCTTGGTGTTTGATAATGTCACATTAACTGTCCCACTCGTACCTATATCTGCAAGGGGTATAAAATCTGGGTGATCAATTATATGCACAGTATTTGAATCATTCTCTGTTAGCTCACGTGAAACCCGCCTGCCATCAGGCCATGTCACATGCATTGTTACTGGTGTGTCTTTTCCAAGTCCAAAATGAGCAACTGGTTCCATTTGACACAGGTATCCTGATCCACTGTCTATGACTGACAGCTGTTTATCACCATTTGATGTTTCCATGGATACTGATGCACCACGTGCAGGTGCACCAAATTTGGTTCGAGGAACAACCCTTATCCAGCTGTTTCCACTTCCAATATTAGCACTGTATACACGCAGTGGCTGTGCACTACTTTCTCCATGTGACAAGAGAAGATCTAGCTGTCCATCACCGTCAATATCAGCCACGCCCCCTCCAGTGCCACACCCATCCTCCTCTAATGCATCCCCAGGATTCAACGAAGTGATTAAGGGGTATACATCTTTCCTGGGCTTAACACTAAATAGACGATTTGGTTGTACTGATGACATTCCATATATGTTATTGAAAAATATCTCAGACAATCCATCATTATCAAAATCAGCCACAATGACTGTTCTTATTAAAGATGGTTCCTCTAAAGCCTCAACAGCAATATTTCTGAATTTGGTTTGGCCAGACGACTTCTCCTGAATAAATACACGATGCTTTCCTTCCCAGTTTCCATAAACTATGTCAACAAGACCATCATGGTTCAGATCAGCAATGGCCACACCTCTAACATTCTCATTCTCATCTGAAATGCCAACAACTCCAGCCACATCAACAAAAGAACCATTTCCGAGATTCTGGAATAGAAAATTTTCTCCTTTGTTATTTAGTTGTCTATTTCCTTCATTACCGAAGAACATGTCCATTCTCCCATCATTATTTAGGATGGGTCCAACAACAATGCTTCTACCACCAGTTGATCGATCTATTCTGGACTCTTTTGCAACATTCCTGACAACAATGTAACCAGTTTCTACATTATTATTTGGGTGAGATTCATCCATTTCCAGAAGTGCAAATCTACCAGTTCCAGAATCAGAATATGTTGCAATGGCAATTGCATATTTACCAGTGCCAAATCGATCTACACAAGCGACCGAGCGTCCTGCATAATTCTTAGCGTCCAAGCTTCTGTTAGGTTCATCTTCAAACAAATTTATATACTGACCATTTCTGTATTTAAAAAGCTTGTCGCCGTAACTGGACTTTCCTGCATATGCATCATTTGTGTTGAGGAAATATATTTCCTCCCGTCCGTCCCCATCAATATCGCAAGCACAAACACCAATAGCTCTGCCTTTGGGGTCGAGAAGGCCTTTCAGAGAACTGTTGTTCTTGGCAATGTTCTGTAATACATTCAGTTCAGCATTGTACTTTAATACATAATTTGGTCCCGTGAAACCAGCAACAATCCATTCAATCTGACCGTCTAAATCTACATCTGCTGCAGCTACACCATAATTTCTTTGCAAAGGTTCACTCGTACTGATGTCATCCAACCATGGGAGACGACGAAACATTCCTTCTGTCTCTGGGGCACCAACAGCTTGACAATGCAATATAAACACCGAACATATTTGAAACCAAGTAGATATAAATAATGTTAACAGAACTCTTGTCCACATTATGAGAATTCTAAACACACAGGTGATTTGTTATGAAACAGCTACCGGCATGTGCGTGGCTTTGTTTATTAATAGCAGCCATCGTCTTCCGGTAAACCTCATTGGTGGGGAAAGGTTTGTTGTAAATTTTCAATCATATAGTGGAATAGGATTTCGGACAATCATCAACGAGGGTTGAATGTCCACTTCGTAGTTTGATGTTCAATATATGGTTCTGTAATATGTTCTTGCCTTATCACAGAATAAACGTGTCACTTGTAATATTTATATTGTGAATGTCTTCGGTGGCAATACGCAAAACAACGCAGGTGTATTTATAGGATTTAAATACATTTATCAAAATCAGACACTTAAAATACTTCACCTGCATGTCTTCTCACATGGTAAAATGCATTAGAAGTAACATAGGCTTAGGTTATTGTTCACGTGTTTCAAGATTACACGGTGAAATATTCCATACCAAACATCTTTTGGTCTGTAACTACGTTGTCAAGCAAAAAAAATATGATTTCGTGCGCATTACAAACGCGATTGTTGACGTTATATGTGCTACGTACGGTCAGGAAGAAGACGTAGATTATCCCTGGTACGGTGACGCCATGGAACGCCCACTCGTTTGTATAAAAAACAGTACCTCGCGAGAGCGAGCCTGGAGTCTATACATATTTCATTACGGCAAATTGCGATTATATCACAGCTTTACACGGTTGATGTCTTGTGCCAAGCCCGACGTCAACAGGGTTTGGCCTTCACCCGCTCACTGTACATCCGCTTTATCATACCCTGGAAAATACAAAAAGTGAATTCTCGTGAAAACATGCATCATCATATGTGATTACATAAAGAAATCATTTTTGTCACACTGTTGACCCTGTTAGATATTTGAGAATGTATTCAAAAGAAGAAAATACAAACACTTCTTCTAATTTTAAGCGTCAGAATATTTCCAATACTCATTTATTAAAGCCAATAGCGAACAAAATACTTAGTTAAGTATAGCTAGGTGTTACACCAATGACCGAGAACTCTGACTGAGACTTCAATGTGATTCATTATAGCAATAACTATTAACTAGTCCATGCAAGTCTAGGATACATGGCAAATCTAGATTTCCACAGTTTGAGGGTGAATGAAGAAACACTCAGGGCTCCATTTCATTATATTTAATTTTTTTTTATTATGAACTCTTTTTTTTCAGTAAAATATGTTCGTTTCAGAGACTAATAACATACTTGTACTTTCTGCTGGAGACATTCAGCATAAAGGTTTGCTGTGTATTTGACTAAATTTACTTAACAACAACAATATGCTCTAAAAGTGTGTATTAAAGTAGCTTAAAGACTCAACCTTCACAGTAATATCATGAATGAGTAAGACTCTATGGAATGAACGTGGGCGAGTCATGGTGTAATTTAATTACATGTTCAAATTATATTATCGCAACCTTATCGCTGACGGATATGTGTTTCTTGTGTAAAGATGAGTGGGTGAGTTTAGTTTTACGCCGCTTTTAGTACTATTCCAGCAATGTCACGGCGGGGAACACCAGAAATGGGCTTCAGATATTGTACCCATATGGGGAATTGAACACTTTAACCACTCGGCTACCCTATTGCCCCTGTGTAAATATGAAGTATATGCACCACAATTATCATGTGGCACATGGATAAAAATAAACATCTGGCACGAAGAAAACTTAACAGTGGTAAAATACAATGAAGACTCTCCGTGTGAGAATATATGGCGCAGCACAAGAAAACATATGGACCAGAATATATCTGTTCCTGAATGATATCGTTTCGTGATTTCGATTTACCCGACCTAACAGTCAACTGGTTTTCCAATGCTATCATAAATCTAATATTGCGCGAAAACGTAGACTGAAACCCAGTTTATGTTTTGGCTTTGCCGCGCATGCGTGACATTCTATCATGCGCACTTTAACGGAAGTGAATATTTCTCAGTCCATAATATTGCAATGGGCCAAGATGACTCAATTTGACAGGAATTTTTCGATAAAGATACATAGAGTGTCATCTTTTCTTTCCTAATTTCAACATTTCTATTTCATGTTCGCGATGACTCGGTAGTTCACATACGGATACTGATGAAATGTTTGTGGGAATCCGATTTTATTTGCCTACAGAATGGCGCTGCTTCCATAAACAATCTGCATAAATTTGGATATGTTGCAGAGGTTCCGAGAACTAAATGAGTGACAGTAATTATGGAATCTTCAAGTGCTCAGAGTGCCGATTACACTGACAATGATGTCATTGAAATCATCCCAACAGCAGAGTATGATTCTCAAAGGGTAAGTGAAAATCGTGGGAATGACAGACGAAAGAATGACATGCATGTGAAACATGTCACCCAATGTTGAGTGGGTAACCAACCAGTTTTCCGGTTATTGTGACATTTCGTTTTGAATGAATGTCTCGCAAATATCTGTCTGCAGCTGAAACCGTATAATATTAAGAAGTTTTTCTCAGTCAATTGACTATTTTAAAATTATACAGACTTCATATCACAGAATATCGAATAATCAATCAGACCATTCTGAGTGACCATTTGGTACCACACTGATTTGAACCCCATTTTACCACATGTGGTACATTATATTTCGATGTTATACCAATATGATGTGATCAAAGGCATAATGGAAGCAGAAGTGGGGTAGTATCACTGGTGATTAATTTTCTCACCTGTGAGTGTGATCTATGGTGTTCATACATGCTTGACTAATGACAGCTGTCATTTGGTATTTGGTGTTGAAAAGCTATTGTACTGTTTTACCATCACCAGTTGATGAGGTACTGATTAACTGTTTTCCTTGTTTGTTAAACAAGAACATCGCCACCATTTGAATCCAAAATTTCTGAGTGCATTAGGGTCTGTTTGTATATTAAGTCTTATTTTCAGGTACCAAACTTCTACATGAAACACCATGTGTATGTGTGTGTGTGCTTTGTGGTTAGCAAATAGATAAAGATATTGTTAATTTCCTTTGTTATCTCCATGAGTTACCATCTGTTATTTCAGGAACAGTGGATGAATATATTGCATGCATGTGAAATTATGATTTGAATCTGATATCCTAAAAGGGGTCCTTGATGGTTTTTAGCTGTGATATCTTGATATGTTGAACTTGGAACCTACTAGGTCTTAAATGTTTCTTTGTAATATTATATCATGAACTCCTCTTTCGTTACCAATATGAAACATGTAGTATAAAACATTAAATCATAAGATATTAAAATGAAATTCAGAAGTTCAGTATGTAATTAGTGACAAGATTATATGGATGATGAACTTCTGTAATACCATTGTAGTATTGGTTTGGTGTACCTTCTAACACAGTCTTCATGCAAGTAATGTAGCATGTTTTCACATACACTGACTCACTCACACACATACAGGTTGTACTAAGAGGTAGGCCCTGTATGAAGGAAGTGTAGCTGCCACAGTACTGTACTTATTACAGATATTGTGCATATTGTACATTGCATAAGCCAGTGTTATTGTGATTGTTGTATAATGATATATGCTATGGTCTACTGTTCCTCATTTGTTACTTTTTAACAATCTTATCATTCCGCCACCTTCTATATTTTAGACAGTAGGACATCATACCAATATGCAGTTATTCTGAATTTTTCACACCACAATACCCAAAGTGCTACAAAGCAATATGGTAGCTATAAGAAATCAGTGGTATGGTATGTCCAAATTAGGTGAAAATGTATAGAGACTGACTATTCAATTCACCCATATGAAAAATGACTAAGAAACCTGGTCTTGCTGATAAAGACTGATAAACCCTGTGTTTGGATAGTGAAAAGTGGGGCAGAGAGACGGTAGTTGACACAGAGTGACACACTTGCCATTCGATAGCTAGTTGACTAGTGAAGTAATGGTACAGCAGTACAGTACTGTATCGCAATACGAGGTCCATGATTGCTGTACATCGATGTACAACCACTGTATCATGCTGCATTCAATGCATTACATTTCTAGTCATATTTGTGCAAAAACATGAATGATAACAGAAACTGTTAAAACACCAGCCTGCATAGTTTGTCTTTTATTTAAGATATGAATATGTTTCTGCCCTACAACACCCCATTTTTAATCTCTGAAATGAAATGTAATTTGAAACATTAGTGTTGTGATTAACCAGTAAAAAAAAAGAATATCAAAGTTGGAATTTTTAATACATGTATTGTAAAAATACAAGTAGTACCAGGACTATGCAGTATCATTACCCCTCTCCTCTTAACGCCTACAGTCTTACATTAAGTCTTGAAAGATTTAGTGTCAGGCAAGATTGATTAATTTTTTTTTTTCTTTTTGATGTTTTCACACACATGATTATAAAGACTGTAAAGACAGATAAGATTTATTTACTAAAGCTCATAAATTTCTCTTTTGAGATGAATAAAAATAATATGTTTTCAGATAAACATATGACTCACCAGTAGTAATTTACAAATGTTTTTCTGCTAGTTTGGGGTTTAACTATTAGGCTCAGCTTTCCTCAACACTGTGATACATGAATTTCGAATTGGCTTAAATCTGGTGAAAAACTATTTCAGATAAAAGGTTGGTGATGGCATTATAGTCAGTTAATTTTAGTGGAAATCTGTTCTGGAAAATTATGGCATTATAACCAATGTGCAGTGTGTATCTCTGTAGTTCAACCAATTAACTATCACCACCCTATTATGTATTGGTCCAGTGATTATCTGTGGTGTTGAAATTGCTTTTGTGGTTAATTGCTATTTAGCAGTCATAACAGGATATTGTGAGACAGTATGTATCAGGCTATGCACATCCAATTGTTTGTGCAATATGTACATGATGATTGACATACTTACTGGCTTGATGCCCTGTAAAGTTGTATTATCTAATGTACCCATGGTGGGCTTGCACCCTGGAATATATATCTATCTTTCTGTTTCCAAATAGATCAGTCTGTTGTAATACACAGTAAACATGTTAATGTTTCCTCTCTATCACTGAAGCTACAATAATCCGGTCATTGAGGATCTGTGTATTTGTAAACCTCCAATGCATATATATGCTAAAAAACAACAATCAATTCAAAGTCTTGGGTAGTAGCAGTAGGACTCTAGAAGTGATTGTGGGTTCATGTAAGTGCTTTACCATGTGTCGTAACTGTAACCCACCCCATGGCTTCATGACAACAAAATGGCTGAACACAAGGCTTAGTCTTCTCCTTGCCTTAAGTTAGGAAAAAGTGATCATTTTTTTGTGCCTAAACAAGTTGCATGCAGGTTAGTGTTCTCAATACAGCAATATGTGTATGAAAGTTTAACAGGTTATAAGTAAGGAAACTGTTATTCCCAGATGTAATCTTGTATTTTTTTAATCCCTTTCAATACTTTCCATATGGTTGTAAGGGTGTACTTATATCCCTGGCTAAGTATATTTAAACCCAAGGGACTTTCAGTGCTTTGTTTCGCAGACCATAGAGACCTTGAAATTGAGAACTGTTCTTAGTCCCTTTTGGATTTTATTTTGTTTTATTTATTGAAGCACATTTTTAAAAAAGATTACTTTATTTCTGGGACAAACAGTCTATTTAGTACTGAGGAATGAATTCTGTAAGTTTGGGCCATGAACAAATGGATAGCAGGCTAGTAACACCTGCATGTTTCACTTAATTTCCACGAATTTAGTGACAAATCATTGTATGTAGTGATAGAAACAAGCATGCTTCTTCCACTAGTCCTTATAATTATGACATAATCCTAAACGGAGGGAAATTTCTATTTGACTTGAACCTTAACTATAAGGCAGTCTGGCAAAAAGTGTAGTTCTATTGCCAATTTCTATCGCTGATACATGTTCAGAAGCTTCAGTGGTATTTATTTCTTAGTGGGAATTTCAGTGTTAGAGTGAATAAAGAAATAAACATGACACCAGCTTTCATTGTTACAATTTAATGTTGAAACCATCATACTGGGTGCAGTGTAAATCATCTTTATCCATTTTCATTATGTATGTATATATATGCTACAATATTTGTGTCTGATAGAACTCAGCTCATGCTGCCATGCTAGTAGATTGAATTTGGTATGGACTGTTGACCACATCAACACAAGTCCTATTTACAAGGTTGTGTGGTATAGGTAGATAGGAGAGCCAGGTAGCTGGTCCCCTGTGTTGACCTTAATCAATCAAACAGGTAAAGTAAGCCATCAACAGGTATTATCCATAGCCAGGTAACAATTCAGGTAGGTGTGAGGTACAGTAATACACACTCGGCAGTTTCTATGCTCGACATAGTGAGGCACACTTACATGGGTTGGCTTGATACAACCATTCCATTCATTCATACAGGGATAATATAAGACTTGGTAGTTGTTACAAATGGCTGTCAAATTGTATTTATTATGCTCAGATACTCAACTATTCAATAATGACTTAAGTAATAAACTTTTAATATATTTGTATGTAGCAGTTTTCCGTGACAAAAAATAGACACATATATTCACTGACTTTTCTTTGCATGTTGTATGCAATTGAGTAGGTGCACAGCACGTTTCTTTACATGATCTTATGTCTGGAGTACAGGCATATGATATTCTGTACTTTATAAAGGAATTTGTTTCTCGTATGGATTCTAGTGCAGAAAAGGTCTGTAGCTGCCATGTAAGTCATGAATACAGACTAATGAGGATGGGATATTCACAGTGTCTGCCTGTCCTTATAGCCAGACTACAATCAATTATAGATCAAGATCACTGGCTACACGCCAGTGTATGAATTTGAGGAAAAACAGTGACTTTTAGTACGCTAGTCTGCAACATGATTAGTTGACAACACTGATGAAGAAATAAGTTTTGTAAAAATTGTGTATTCATTATAAGATCTTGTTGAAACTTAACATCACACCTTTCTACATGATAGTCTGTGTGGTCATAAAATATGCATCATATCAAACACAAAAAGACAGTGCTCTTATGTTCTTCAGAAGAATTTATAAAATCAGATGAAATTGGGAACTCTTTAAATTCTTCAATTCTCAAATGCTCCCAGTTCCAGTAAGGATATGTATAAACTTCCTGTTAACAAAAACTATAGCTATGAATAATTTACATGAGGCATGCCACAGCCTAGCATATAGCACTTGCCCAGACCACATAGTAGCAACTATCACGATGTATAAGGCTGTATGGCAGCTCAAGGCTTTTGATACAATATATCGATTTGCAAAGGCCATATTCATTCTGTCCAAGGCTATTCTACATCCATGTAATATCAAACTAACTTTTTAAAGATATGCGT